TATCTTGCGTAATATTTCTGTTCTAAAATTTAAAAGAAATCTATGTTTTACGAGGGTTGTTCACTGAGAGTCTTGCATATTCATATTTCATCCAATTTAAAATATTTTCATATGTATAGGGATCGTAAAATGTTTTCTACAATTTATGCATAAGTTTATTAATTTATTGTGATGAACGCGCGTTTCCTGTGATATTGAATAACTATGGTAACACGCACCCGGCGCAGCACATGAAAATAGTCATTGATGCTAAGTTGTACTTCTGATTTATTATTATTATGATAAGTTCAGGAAAAATGGCCTGTGCATAATAGTTCTCAACCCACTTCAATATGAATATCACATTTAAGTGCAGAAAAGATACATCTAAAAAAGCAATAAAGACCACTTTCGGAACCTTAAGAAATGACGGTAAAACAGGAACGTGTACATGTTATTGAAGCAATAATGCCTTCAGATGAGCCAAAATATCTCAAGACAATCAAACTTAAGATAAAATGTATAAAGATTTAAGAAATGTAAAAAGATTCAAGATTAAAGTAATATTTTTTACGTTATGTGCGCTATATCACGGAATACCGTCAGGGTCATCATAGTTATACTTTATCAGTCGGGCATACTTCCTGATCGGGAAACAAGGGGATTCCCCTTCAAGGCTTCCCGATCAGGCAGCAAACGTCAAAATTCCCCCTGATCGGGAAGTTTATTGGCCTTTTTTACGTAGTTCAGGAAAAATGGCGCGTTCTCAACCCACTTCAATATGTTTATCACATTTAAGTGCAGACAAGATACATCTAAAATCCTACCGAGTCATTTTCGTTTAAAATGTCTACAATTAAAATAATCTGAAAGTGAATTTGAGTGAAGTTTTACGATTTTACTAAGAAGTATAGCTGCTTCCCGTTTTGGAAACACTGTTTCCAGATCAGGCATCTAGCATGTTATTCATCATTAAATGTTTCCCGTTTGGGAAGTTTTATTTTTTAAGTTTGTGCGTTCTATTCTGGAATTTTTTCGTGTTGACAACACCAACAAATAAAGATATCTGTACAACAAATCAACATGTGAGTCATGACGTGAATGTTTTGAACTCTGGTGTGTCTAGCAGTTCAGATACAAATGATAGCATCATAGGAGGTGTCTTCTCAAATTTTGTAAAAACGAATATTCAAATATATTCGAATATGGAAAAACGAATATTCGAACATCAATTTTCTTATTCGTTCCCGGCCCTAGTTATTCTTATTATGCCCCACTTCGAAGAAGAGCGGGAATATTGATTTGCTAATGTCCACACAATATCTGTAAGACTGTAAATTGTATGTATACAACTTTATGTTGAATAAAATATATGTTATGTTATGTTAATGTTGGTCGGTCAGTCTCATGGTAGACCTCACTTATTATCTTAAAAACTATTTATCACAGAGTCTTCATATTTTACATACTAATTGGTCAAAACTATAGTAAATGGCACCTATTGATTTCAGGATCACTATGTCAAAGGTCAAGGTCACAGGGACGGACCCGGAATGGTTTCCGCTCATTATCTTGAAAACTATTTTTCACAAAGTCTTCATATTTCCAATTTAATTAGTCATATGTAGTAGATGACTCCTATGATTTTGTGGGTCACTAGTTCAAAGCTCATTTTCTTGAAAACTATCTATCACTAAGTCATTATCTTTCACATATTGATTGGTCATAACTAGTGGATGACCCTATCGATTTTGGAGTCTTGAGGTCAATGGTCAAGGTCACAGGGACCTTAAGTATGTTTGTTTATCCGTCGTGAGACCACATTGTTTCTGCTGATTATCTTAAAAACTTTTTATCAAAAAGTCTTCATATTTCATAATATTGATTGGTCATAACTATTAGATGACCTATATTAATTTTGGGGTTACTAGCCTAAAGGTCAAAGTTGCAGGTGTTTTAAATTTCGGAATGTTTTCCGCTCATTATCTTGAAAACTATTTATCAGAAAGGATTTATAATTCACATATTAATTGGTCTTAACTAGAAGGTGTCCCTTTTTGATATTGGAGTCACTAGTTCAATGGTCAAGGTCACAGTGGCTTGAAAGTCACAATATCTTGAAAAGTATTTATCACAAAGTTTTCCTATTTCGTGTGTTGATTAGTCATATGTGGTAGATATCGATGTTGGGTTCACCAGTTTAAAGGCAACAGGGTCCTTAAATGTCAGAATGGTTTCCGTTCATTATTGAAAACTATTTATCACTAAATCTTTTATATTTCACTTATTGATTGGTTATAATTAGTAGATGACCCCTGTCAATTTTGAGGTCTTTAGGTTTCAAGGTCACAAGGATGTTAAATGTTCAAAATGGTTTTCTTCTACTCATTATCTTCAAAACTACCCGTTATCAAGTTTTTGTGTTTCACATTTTAATTGTTCATAACTAGTAGATGGCCACTATTGATTTTGAGGTCACTAGGTAAGAGGACAAGGTCACAATAACCTTGAATGTTCAAAGTAGATGCTCATAGTTACATTTATATGATGGTATATATATATGGTTGATTCCCGAAAAAGTAGTGTAACATAGAATAATACACATGAATCTTGTAAGTTAACAGGAACACAATATTGTTTTGCTATTTTAAGTAGAGTTTTATCCGTTTAGCAATGATTTTGTGCTGGCGCCATTCGCGTTTAAGGCAATAAATTACCATATTTATTTCATATAATCATTTTGGAAGTATATTTTTTTAAAATTCAAACAATAATTTTTGCATCAGATATATAGCTTTATACACTTTAAGTTTTAGAAAACAGAAATTTGACACAGTCACTACAAACACATGTAGTATGTAAACACGTCTTGAGCTATAGCCAAAAAAGATATTTATGTGAGCTCTAGTCAACATTTAACTTAATTATTTTAGCTGCATGGTAATTGTTTTTAGAAATTACACTCTGTGCAATGTTGTTCAACATGTGCTATACAATGTTAACAGTATGAAACTTTTGTATTGTAATGATGATTTTTGTACTGTCCGTCAAGTATAGCTAATGTTTTAATAGGTATTATTACGCCTAACATGAACATAAGTTTCGCCAGATATAGTTTTAATTATGTGCCACATGTCTTTAAAAAATGACTAGGCTTGGCAATTTCTAATCATCAAGGTACTACTACAAATATAAGGTACTTCTAGATTGGGAAGCAGTGTATCTTAAACCTTTAATGATGAATATTTTACTAGATGCCTGATCAGGAAGCAACGTTCCCAAAACGGGAAGTGCCTAGTTTTTGGTAAAATCTAAAAACTTTACTTAAGTTCACTTTCAGATAATTTTAATTATAGACATTTTAAAAGAAAATGACTCGGTTGGATTTGAGATGTATATTTTCTGAACTTAAGTATGATATTCATATTGAAGTGGGTTGAAAACTGTTATGCACCGGCCATTTATTCTTGAACTACGTAAAAAAGGGCCAAAAAAACTTCCCAATCGGGAAGGATTTTGTCGTTTGTTGCCTGATCGGAAAGCCTTGAAGGGGAATCCCCTTCTTTCCCGATCAGGAAGTATGTGCCCGACTGTTTATAATCCAGAGGGCGACAATGCGACAGTGCGATAGTGCGATGACGACAATAAGACAGTGCGATGGTGATATGCGATGGCGACAATGCCATAACGGGATGATGACAGTACGATGATGCGACAATGCGATTGCGACAATGCGATAATGTGATGGCGACAGTGCGAAAATGCGTGGCGACAACACGAAAGTGTGATAATACTATCGCGTTGTCGCCATCGCACTATCACATTGTCGAAACGGTATTCCGTACTTAAAGACTGATTTTACAGTATTTATCACCGTGTCTGGCGAAGTAAGCTTTTTTGCATATTTTGGCCAATTTTTGGTAATTTACTTGATTTGTAAGTGTAAATTATTACTTTCTTTGTGTACTTCACTATAAACACATTTTTTCCAATTTTAATGAAAATTAGCATTAAAATGGAGGCATATGTACAGTGTAGTTTTAATTATGTTTTAGCGCTCACTAAATTGATATATCTTATGTTGTTGTTTTTTTACATGTTTTCTCTTATTCACAAAAATGAAATATTTTTTGTGTTGTCAGATTGTGCACAAAGCGTTTAATCTTTCCAGCTGTCACGTATAGGTTTTCAATATTGTATTTTGCTTCAATAGAATAACACATGCTACATGTTTAAATTCTAAAACATCAAAAAGGACGGTCAATATTTCCATCAATCGTGAAAAAACTCGTGTATCAGTCGTGATTTACTTTTGATCACGTGATCAGAATTATATATTTTCCAGAAATCTTTATAAAACTCTATATGCCGTTTGTAATATTGATAGAAGCCAGATATATTATTTTGATATGTTAACCAGATCTAAAGATGACATTTTAATTGCCTTTATTTCAAGCACTTACATCAATATATTAATAATGTAGCAGTCAGTAACACCAAGCTCAATCTCGGAGGACTTTGACTTATTGATTTTCAAGTGCCGGGAATGCCCATGCAAGACCTGCTGGTATAGTCTATATAATTTATTATGTAAAATCCTCTCAGAAAAAAAAAAACCGCACTGCGATGCGAATCGTCAAGCCGGAAGTCCGTTGATTTAGAAACTAAACATATTGTAAAATAATATTTTCTTTCCTCATTTCCGGTGTTAAAATAAATCAATCGGCGCTACCGGTTATACACCGTGATTCCCACTTACAGCTAAGTTTAAATATGACAATGTCCTAATGATTTCATGGCGAATTTTCCTTATATAAAAAAAAATGTTTTATGATTATTTCAATAGAAAATTTATTATCTTTAAGATAAGCATTTCCGTTAAACAACGTGTGCATTGCATGCATCGTATGTAAATAATTAAATTACATTTTTTCCCCTGCTTTAAATATAATACAATGGCGGCAATATATTTTCCTGCAAAAAGTTTAACACTATACACGGACATATTTCATCTTGTCACTTGTGATGTTACATCCAGTCACTTTAGGGTTTTTTTTTAAAGTTTTCATTTCAATATGAAATACATTACAATTGACTGCACCTTACGGGTAAAATACATACCCCATTCAACCGTATCAAAGTGTAATTTCTACACTATTATGCTAGATTGTCATGCTTGGGTTTAACACAGAGGATCGAGATGAGAGTGAATCGATACAAACTGCAGTGATGCTAATGTTACTCTGTTGTTCCAAAAATAACTTATTCTATAACACGCCTGTGTTCAGCCACTGTGACTGGCAACAACATAAAGTGTACAGCTGCTATTGCTGTCTTTAGTGTATAATTAACGGAATAAGATACCAAATGGATAAAACGTTTTACGTTTTATAAAAGGAGAATAACTAGGTGGTGGAAATGGGCCACATAATGAAAGGATTTATTTTTCAACGATCTGTTAGATACGGGATTCTGGTGTGTGTTGCTTTATTCTTAATAGTGAAAATTACGTGGAAAGAAAATAAATCGGTTCCTCGTATTAGCCAATTTACTAGTAACTTTGATAAACATGTGTACGTTAATGATGAAATACCGGATAGAAACAGAAATGGATTAAATATTGATCAAGTACAAAGAAATGAAAGTGATGTTGTTACAGTAGCTAGGAGAATTAGTTTATATAATAACACAGTTCTTGTGAGTGTGGTCAACGATGCGTATTTACCGTTCGCATATAGTTGGCTCTGTAACACCAAACATATGAATATTCATAAATCTGTGCTAGTAATTACCACAGATAACGAATCAAAAATGAAACTTAATAAAGACTGGCCAGAAGTGTCCGTTTTCCATATTACACTTGACATACCAAAAGGTGACCAGGAATACAGCCATGTTGGTTATGTTAAAATTATGATTAGAAGAACAGAAATAATTCTGTCTTTACTGAAGGCTAAAATAGACCTGCTTTTACTTGAATTCGATTACGTGTGGTTTACAAATCCAATATATGGTTTCCAACGACAGGCTGGTGTCGACATGCTGGTTAATCCGGTTTCAAACACTGGCGGAAGCGTTTTCAACGGCGGCTTGCTATACATGTTTGCAACCGAAAGGACACAGGCTCTTTGGACAATGTTGACGGCCATGATGAAGACACTGGAACAATCTCTAAAGAATAAATCAGATAAAATGGCCATATCTGAGGGAGATAATGATCAAACTTACCTATCAAAATTGATCAGAGAAAGGTTGGTGTAACGAATACATTGTTTTAGTGAAAACTAAATAATGCTGAATATATGATCCTAATAATGTCTGTCAAGAAGTTTTCATTTTCATTGAAATTTGTCCAAAAAAAAATAGCTCAGATAATTACACAATTTACAATAAACCTCGATACTAAGTATTAATTATACTATAACTATAGTACTTTGGCACTTTAAGACCATTTTCAATATACCTTAATAATAATAGTATTAGTTACAACAAGAGGGCCATGATGGCCCTAAAGTTGCTCACCTGTATATAGGCCCCCGGAGCGGGGCCAGTTTAAATATCTTTGGAATTGAACTGAACCTGTTCCTAAAATTGGCATATAGACATTCAACATATAATTACCACATGAACAATATATTTCTGCTTACTGGCTAACCAAACGACCCACCTTACACCAACCTACCTACACACCTACCTACCCACCTACTGACCTTCCCGTCTACCTACCATAATTATTATTGTTGATGTATGAGACGTTCACGACCATTGTCATCTAAGCTTCAACGTTCATGGTTTGAGCATGGCAAAAACATTATTACAGGTGTCCATAGACCTTAAAGCTGTTACCGTTTTAACCTATATATCAAATACAATGAAGAACAAAACATTTAAAAAGAAATGTAAATTGACTGAAAACAAAAGAACAGCGACGCACCACTGGCATATGTGTGAATTTAGAGTATCAATGTCTTATTGTAACAATAGACAAGTTTAAATATTTTGGGCGGATATATTAGGTTTCAACCTTGCCATATCATACATATAAAGCTTTAGTGGGTTTTACTAATTGATGTATAGGGTTTCAATTTTAAAATCACAAAATTCATTCAGGTGTTTTATTGCATTCATTCATACATGTAGTCTGATTTCATTGACCTGTCAATGATGAATAAATTATAGCACTCATTTAAACATGCGATCCCACTTCGGCTCTGTCCGTATAGTTTTAGACTCAATACGATTATAACTAATTTTTTGAAAAGTAACACCAGCTTAATGTATGTCGTCCGCACATCCGCAAAGCACAGTCAGTTGAGTGATCGTCCGCACATCCGCAAAGCACAGTCAGTTGAGTGATTGCCTTTTATATGAGAAGTCTGTAGTACGACCCCTACAGTTCTTTTTTATTTGTAAAATACATGTATATTTCAATGGATTTGGTCGGTTCCTTGCAAATATGTCTTCACGGATATGAAGAAACATCGAAACACTATTCTGTCTTGATTTATATTGTGTTTTACGACATTGAAATTACATTAATTTTCTTGTTTCTAATCCAAATAAATTTTTAAATATTATTTTTTTCTTTATTAAAAACCATGTTATTTAAAAAGTGTATTTTACCAAATAAGTGCAGAAACATATTTCTAGTAAACGAACAACACACAAATCAGACAAAATTTCAATAATATTGAGCATGGAAAAACATAGACCTACGCGGTTTCGATCTTACAACATTTGGGAAAACATTTAAAAAATTAAAATCTTTTTTTTTATCTTTTTGCGTTTAAACGCTCATTTGAAATTTAAATTTTATTGACAAAAATTTAAAATTTAAAATTATATTTCGGGCTTTATATCTCACGAACTTTTCCGAAAATCTATAAACATTTGATTAATTGGGGTGCATTGACCAATATAAAATTTTTGGGGGTTTCGCAGAATGATGCATTTTCTTGAAAACCCGGGATGAACAAACCCCTTTTCCCTTCCCTCTTTCCCGGTTTTTTTGTGAATATATTTTTGGGTTTTCTATTTAACCACTGAAAAACTACAATAAAATTTGATTTATTTAACTTGGTGACTACTGTTAATTTCTTAATATTTCAAATCGTACTAGTACTATAATTTAAATGCGAGTTTGTGCCAAATTTTTTCGGATACTGTCTAAACAGTTTAAATCATATCAATTCGTGCATGAAACAAATGTTAAAACTATGTTTATGCGTTTATTTGTACAAATTTATGAATCGTAAAACACAACAATTGGTCTTTAGCGTGAATCTCCGGTAAAGTGCAAAAGTTACATAATTGCTTGCTTCAAGAGAAGTAACTATGTTAAACATTTAGATGTTTATTGTTGATAACGCATTAATTTCCTTATATAATATAAACAGATGTGTTTGTGAAAAATGATACCATAGACCAAATATCAAAGCTCTAGGCCATTTACTTTCAGACCAGAAGATTTTTCAAGTTTTCACTATATGTATATAATGAAAATCAATGACCCCCGTGGCATGGCCAATTTTGACCCGAGGGCCATTATTTGAACAATCTTTGGAAGAGGTCAACTTTACATTGTTTCATACCAAATATCTAACCTGTAGCCCTTTACAAATTCAGAGAAGTAGATTTTTTTTAGGTTTTACAATATACATTATAAGGAAAAACCTATGACCCCCAGGGCGGGGCCGATTTTAATTTCTAGGAACAAAATTTGAAAACTTTGGTTTTTGGACCTATAGATGATACCATAGACCAAATATCAAAGCACTAGGCCATTTACTTTCAGACCAGAAGATTTTTCAGTTTTCACTATATGTATATAATGAAAATCAATGACCCCGAGGCGGGGCCAATTTTGACCCGAGGCATTATTTGAACAATCTTTGGTAGAGGTCTTACCACACAATTTTTCATTAGCCAAATATCTGACCTGTAGCCTTTGCCAATTCAGAGAAGAAGATTTTTTTTTTACTATATACATATTTAGAAAAACCTATGACCCGGGGTGGGGCCAATTTTGACACTAGGAACAAAATGTGTACAACTTTTGGGTATTGGACCTTCAGATGATACCAATAGACGCAAATATCAAAGTCTAGGCCATTTTCCTTTTTCAGACCAGAAGATTTTTTAAGTTTTCACCTATATGTATATAATGAAAATCAATGACCCCCCGGGGCAGGGCCAATTTTTGACCCGAGGGCCATTATTACACTGTTTTTCAAATGCTAAAATATCTTAGCCTCTAGCTCTTTTGCATTCTTTTTAAAAGAAATTTTTTTAACGTTTTCACTAATATGTATGTAATGAAAATCAATGACCCCGGGGCTCGGGGGCCAATTTTGACCCTTCAGGGCCATTATTTGAACCCAATTTTGGGATAGAGGTCTACTACACAATGGTTTCATGACAAATATCTAATCTGTAGCCTTTTGCCAAATCAAGGGAAGAAGATTTTTTTAGATTTTACTTATACATAAAAGGAAAACCTATGACCCCGGGGCGGGGCCAATTTTGACACTAGGACAAAATTTGAAACAAGTTTGGTAGAGGACCCATAGATGGATACCATATACCAAAATCAAAAGCTCTGGCCCATGGTACTTTCAGACAAGAAGAATTTTTTAATTTTTGTTGGTTTTTTTGAAATCCTTTTCTGGCCCTATGCCCTACATATGCAAAACAGACCGGAACCATTTGAACAACTTTGAAAGGGGACAACCAAGGATTCATTTCTGTAAAGTTTTGGGGTTTGGATGATGGTAGTCCATTGGTTTTCAGAGGAGATGTTGTTAATGTTCAAAAGTTGACGACGCACGACGACGTTGGACGGACACAGGGCCATCACAATAGCTCACAGGTGAGCTAATAAAAAACGTATAACTAATACTATAGACTTACATTGTAGTATAATGGGAAAAATGACATTTTTGTAAATAGCAGGGACATTTATTTGTTATAGTTGGAACCACGGGCACGAGTATTGGACCTGGGAAGAATATATGACCTCATTGATAAAAAACTTCATCTTAAAGGTGTTCATCTTAAATGTGTAAAAAAAAAATAAAGTGAAATATGAGCCCCCTTTAAAATATACTATGAGTAAAGAGAAGACCGGAAAATCCAGATTCAAGTCTACGAGGAAGGGATTCATTTCCCGGAATGTTGAGAAAAAACTTTTATCACTATTTCACGTTTGTATTAAGCTCTAAACTTATAGTATATTTTTAAGGGAGCTGATATTTCACTTTTTTGTTTTGTTTTTGACACATTTAAGATGAACACAGAGGTTTTTGTCAATAATGTTCTATTTTCTTCCCACTGGGCCAGGTCCGATACACTTGCCTGTGGTTGGAACTGGTGAGATAGAGGGGATGGGGATAATGTAGGGGGTGGTTTCAGATCACAGCGGCGTTTTTAGTCACGTGATTATACGAGCTAGTTATTATCCCCTGCCGATGGAATCGGGAGGGGGATATAGTTTTGGCGTTGTTCCGTCCGTCCTTCCGTCCGTCCGTCCTTTTCCATTCCGTCCGTCCGAATTTCGTTTCCGGAGTAGTTCTCTAAAATGGCTGGAATTCAACGAAACTTTTATGGGAATGTTGTCAGCATGTGAAAAGGTTGTGGGCACCTGGTATTTTAGTTCGTGGGATATTTTTAAAGTATTTTTAAGAGTTATTGGGCCCTTGACTCAGTAAAATTTTTTGTTCCGAATTTCGGTTTTCCGGAGTAGTTCTTCTGCAAAACTAAATGGCTGGAATTCAAACGAAACTTTATGGGGAATGTTTGATCAAGGATGGTGAAGTTGTGCACCTGGGTATTTTCCGTTCTGGATATTTTTTAGTATTTTAAGAGTAATTGCCCTTGACTTAGTAAATTTTTGTCAATTTTCAAAACTTGGGGTGTCGCATGTAACTCAAAAAGTATTTGACCTAGAGTCATGAAACTTTACAGGAATGTTTGATCAGTATGTGTAGTTGTGAACCTGGGTAATTTTCATCTGGATATTTTTAGTATTTTTAAAGAGTTATTGCTCTTGATTAGTAAAATTTTGTAATTTTTCAACTTGGTGTCGCATGTAACTCAAAAAGTTATTTGACCTAGAGTCATGATACTTTTACAGGAATGTTGATCATTCATGTGTAGTTGTGCACCTGGGTATTTTTCGTCTGGATTTATTTAGTATTTTTAAGAGTTTTGCCCTTGACTTAGAAAATGTTTTGCAATTTTCAACATGTGTTCGCCATGTAACTCAAAAAGGCTTTTGACATAGGGTCATTAAACCTTATTGGAAAGTTGCTCAGATGCATATTTAGTTTTGGTTTCCTGGGGTTTCGCTTGTGGATTTAATCCAGTATTTGTAGAGTTATTTCCCTTGACTTAGTAAAAACTTGTTTCATTATGTTGTTATTTGATCCTGAGTGCTTGATTAGAAATTGACCAACTTTACAGGAATAATGATCAACATCAACTAAATTACAATGGAATAGTTGATTCACCTTCACTGTGATGCTATGAACGCTGGGACTTTTGCATGTGGATTTTTTTCAGTTTTGTTAAATTTTTCAGAGTTTATTGCCCTTGATTACAGTAGTATAAATTTGCAATTTTCAACTTGGGGTTTGCTTGGGGATTTATTCAGTATTTGTAAAGTTCTTGCCCTTTACTTAGTAAAAAGATTTTTTTAGTTTTTTTAAAAATATTTGACCTAGAAGTCATAAGATTGACAGAAACAGTTTGGCGCCCGGTGGGGGGCACCTGTGTCTATGGACACATTTCTAGTTTTTATTAAAGAAGAATTAAAATTTGATTTGTTTACAATATAACATTTAAAAATATTTGAAAATTGGTGAGATTTCCCTTCTTGGATGCCTTGAAAATGGCAATTGAAGTCTGGATATTAAGATGTTTTTACATCTATTGTGAGCTATTGTGGATCCCCACCGTCCGTCGTTGTGGCGTCATCAAGCAATTTCTTTAAAAACAACATTTCCTCAGAAACAAATGACTGCCAGCAACCAAACTTTACAGGAATGATTCCTAGGGTGGTCCCTGCCTGCCAAAGTTGATTCAAATGGTTCCGGTCTGTTGCATAGGTAGGTCACAGGGCCAGAAAAGGAGTTTCAAAAAATGCAAAATTAAAAAATCTTGTTGAAAGTACAAGGCTAGAGCTTTGATATTTGGTATAATGATGATAACCTATAGGTCCTCCTACCAAAATTGTTCAAATTTTAGTCCTGGGGTCAAAATTGGCTCCATGCCAGGGGGTCATAGATTTTCTTATATGTATATAGTGAAAACTTAAAAAATTCTTCTTGTTTGAAGGTACAAGGCTTCAAGTTCAAAGAATATTACAGTTTATGCCATGATTAATACATAAATAAAGCCTTATGTCTTCAGTTTTTGTGTTAATAATAACCAGTACTCGGCGGGGGATATAAATTCAACGAATTTGCTTGTTAAATTAATAACACTAAAAGTTTATATGTAACATTGAACATAAAACATTGTATACAATGTTGAATGTTTTGCTATTAAAAGGAAAATGTTACTTAAAGTATACCCAGTGAGAATTTTTTTAAAGAAGTATAAAATATACATGTACTCTACATAATATGAGAAATGTACCAGTAACCCTTTCCGCGTTAAATATCGAAGAAGGACTCAGCCATCTTTCAATCTGGACAAAACCATAAATTTTAGGCAAAAATCAAAATATGTACTAACTGGATAACGGACAGTGCCGGTACGAAATACCGTGCTTCCGTGCGTGATTTGCAATGATCGCGTGGGTAGATTCAGTCGCCAGGGGGTAAAGGTTTACATAATTTATTTCGTAGTTAATATCGAAAATGTCATATAAAACTGTTTTTTTTTTTTTTTTTTTTTTTTTTTTTTTTTTTTCAGAATTATAAACAATATGCTTTAAAAACGATATCAACATAGCTCTATTCCCAAATAAACAATTTTCTTATCACATAACTGGATCGAAGAGCGGATTTGATATGTGAAATGCACATTGTGTCGCGATATCTTTATCTAAATCATATGCATTAAACTTGCGAAAGTCCTATTGTTATGTGTAGAGAATGTTTTAATTTCCTATGGGCAATACAAATTTGAAGTTACTTATTCAACGGAGTATACCAAATGTTATTTCCCCTATGTGAATATCTAACGTTTAAATAAACTCCGTATCTCGTATCTTATTATACGCTCATTAGTTGAAATGATTATAGCATTCCTCAAGTATTCCCGGAACCACATGTATGCCATATGTTAAGAGTATGGTATTTAAGAAAACGTATCATCTAGTGAAAATTCTATATTTTTCCCTCTAAATAAATAATTAGGAAGTTTTATTTTAAATTGTGCTTAACATATGTATAAAAGCTTTAGTTGTTGATCTTTTTTTCCTCAATTTAAACGTTTAAGTAGTACTCCCCAAGTCATAGAATATTGTCAAGTATACATTGTATAAAGAGTTACCACCGGCGCTTTAAATTCGCAATGTCGCCTAATTATGTCAAATCAGGCAATGTTTTCTGTCGTAATGTAACGGGTTGGCCCAATTTGAATTTGAAACAGTTTATGCCCATCCAAGTGTAAAAGTGAGTGTTCAGTAATAAATCGAAATAACCTTACATTCTGTCATAGTTGTATCAATTACATGTTTATTCAATAACCAAAATATATAAAATGAGCCGCGTCACGACAAAACCAACATAATGGGTTTGCGACCAACATGGATCCAGACCAGCCTGCGCATCCGCGCAGTCTGATCAGGATCCATGCTGTTCGCTATCAGTTTCTCTACTTGTTATAGGGTTTGTAAGCGAACAGCATGGATCCTGATCAGACTGTGCGGATGCGCAGGCTGGTCTCAATCCATGCTGGTCGCAAACGCATAACGTTGGTTTTGTCGTGACGCGGCTCTAATAACTTTCAGATTGTATGGATGATGTTAAATTTATAAAAAGAGAGGGGCAAGGCAATTTTATTAATTTATTTTTTGTCTTAAACGTTTTAAGTATCAATTTTTGGTCAATTATAATAATCAATCTTTTGAAATTTATATAGTCAGTTCTGTTCAACTTTACGTTAAAATATTGACTTTAAAATTGAGGGGATTTCAGTAACAAACTATGAAAATCGAGCTTCCAGCTAAATAGAACCTCTTTGACCTTGCTGTATTCTGGTGACCAATGCAGCGGGAAAATGTTTAAAAGAAATAGAGAATATGTGCACAACGCCTTTACACGAATCATTCGAACCACAGACACTTGGGATGTTAAGCTCCAAACAAATTAAAATCCAAATAAAATTCAAATAAAATGTATATTTGCCAGTCTCAGTATATATACTTGACATATTTTGATATATGTCAAAAATCTTAATATAAACAAACCATATTTCAACGTCTATTATTATAGATGTTGAAACATGATTTTTTTAACACAGTTTAAAGATCTGTTAAGATTTTTGACATATATGCTTAGCATATGTGCTTGCACTTACAAGTTTACATTGTATGTGGGTGAATAGGCGTTTTGAAGCTTGCCTTCAGCGGTATGATATTTATGATGTAGGTTCTTTGTTAAAAGGTGGTCGTAAAATTATAGTAAATATCTACGTGTTTCACGTTTTTCTATTTTTTTTTATCCACAGATATGCGAACATAACATATAACTTATTGACCCTAGATAAATACAGCGATGGACAATGGTACAGCAAGAGTGAAGACGAGAGAAGAAAGTTACGCCCTTTGGTTATCAGCAATAACTGGATTATAGGTATAGAATTACAATTCAAGAATATTATGTAATAAATTGAATCTTAATTGCTGGCATACATCATTACAATCGGAACTGCCCGGCTATTATTTATGATAACTCCTATGTTTGACGGAAAGGGCCGAGAGTATGCGGTTGACATTTTTTTAAAAATTCGGCTCTTTTCGGGTTTTTTTCCCCGTCTCTCGGCAGTACAAAAAAAATCATAGATTATTTGCTGCGATAAAAGCCAATTTTGTAGATTGTCGGATTTATGCAACAACAACAACCTCCACCGCCCCCCCCCCCCCGCAAAAATTCTACATTAATTTTGTTCTTTTCCAAACAATGTATTTCGTGAATACAGTTCGACCAAAACTCAGTAGTCGTTCGTCCGCAAGTTTTCGAAATGGCAACATTCTCGCAACACAAAGTAGTAGTTCGATAAACTATTCGCAAATGTTTTACATTGAAAAAGCTTGAAAAATCTAGTATGTAAATATAAACACATACGCACAGACAGACGCACGCACACACGCACACACCAACACACGCACGCAACACACTCATTAAAAGTGTCTAATCACTGCTATAAATGTTTATACACTAAATCAACTTAATATTATAGAGCTGACACATTTTATTTTATTTTTATTTGCAAACAGAAAACATCTATGTTTAACTATTGCGTCGTTGAATGTGTATAAACGTGATTACTGTATCTCTGAATGCCATTTAAATCAACATATTTAATCGTACTAAAATTACTGACAGAAATACATTGTTTTCTACGGTGGCATAAAGGGGACAAGGGACAAGTCTTTCTTTTTCTACGTACGCTCGCATGGTCACGTATTAGAAATAACGTGCGCACGCGGTAGCTATTAAATGCGAATTTCATGTTAATACTATCGCGTGGCCACGTAAGACTACCGCTTAAAGGATAGTCATTTGACGTTTTTAACAACATATATATTATATGTCTCCATTTAACACTCTAATATATTTAGATGCCTTTAATCGACAGCTTCAAGATTCTGAAAAGTAATAATTTTATGAACATTTAGGAAATGTTTTTGAACAGTAAAAACATTGTCAGTTGAATTATTAAAGGCGTATCCTGTAGTCACATATTGGCATTTAGACATAATGTAAACTGATGATATAACTTATTATAACATTGCATAAGGCGGACAGTTTTTTAAACTGAAATTATTGCAGATTCGCCATTTTTTAAACACTTCTTTAACCGTTTCACTGCCATAGGGACGGGACGGCTTATGCCGTCCCTGTCAATCTCGGCGTATTGCCATATGGACGGCTTTTGCCGTTTCTATTATAATGATGAAAATAATAATAAATTAATAATAATAATAATAATAATAGAAATAATAAAAAATATAAAGAAAATTATACGATCGACAATAATCATTATTATACTTACAGATTTGGAAACATATATAATTTCTATAATACAAATAACAAATAATAATAATTATATTAATTAATAAAATAGTAATTTCTTAGAAAACCCTCTGGCACCGAAAGGGTTTTAAGACACTTTGATAATTATGGACCTAGTGCCTTAGAAAAACTTTCAATATCCAAGCAGCAAAATGTTAGTATATAGTTTCTACAGTTAATTGAAATTATTGGGCCTCTTAGAGGCATTCAGTCACATATACAATAATATACATTAAATGTGAAATATCATAAAAAGAGTTCCACAAAATTTAAGTATATTTTTTAATTAAAGCAGACGCAGATGGTAAATGATTGAATCAATATTATTGTAATAAAAGAGATATTATTCATTATTCTCGGCATCATACCGTCTCCTCATTTGTCAATTGAAAATATATTATATGAGATTCCTTGGTGCTGTAACAGGTTAACTCCCTGTATAATCTAATAGGAGATTACCCGTTATTGCGCTACGGTGTTAATAAAAAAAAACTAATTATGCTGATGAAAGTTATCTCAAACACGATGTCTTAACGGTAAATTTAATGGATATCTAGATGTTAATATTGATATAAATGTTTTGGTTTGCAAACTTCTCATAAAAAAACTAGATATGCATACGCTTTTACTTATCATGAAAAACAATATATTCACATGGTTATTCTTCTCATAAACAAATAGTTGGGAATGGGAACAAATTAAAGTTGGTTGGTTTCCTTTGTTTCCTCGGTGCCATCTCGGTGCCATACGGTGAGCAATTAAAAATTTTACCATGTACATGTATAGGAACTTGTTCGAGTGTCACGGTAAGCAAAAATGCGAACCGTTTAAACGGCGACTTCATAACCGTTTAAAACGTTTGAACTATTATATTAAAAGATTATTTTTTATACTTTATCTTCATTTTATGATAAGATAGCATGTTCTTCTTGTACTTTGTACTTTGCTATATCATGCAATTGCAAAGCATATCTGATTATGGAGTGTCATCGTCCGTTAGAACTGCACTGTGCGAGATAGGATAGCTAACGTGCAAAATGCAATCGGAAACCAAGACACAAACGAAATTTAATCTCTTATCATAAATAAACAAACGTAATGTTAAAACCCAGTCAATGAGAAAATGCACATAGTCAAGTTTCTAACGTGCCACATTTAGATAAGCTAAAAAAATGACCCTTTCAACATATAATCAGGTACATTCTTACTGAAATGTCTTATTCAGATTGCCCAGAATCATTAATCAGCAAATTTTTTGGTCTTAATATTTAAAAGTTAACCATCAACCCCAACTGTAATGTTTAAACGAATACCAATTTCATTTTTCTCTAACTTATTTCTGTGAGAAAATTTCTTCATAAGATTTTTTTTTCAAAAATATTACTAATTTCGAAAGCAATATATCTGTTAGCTCCCCTCTTCAGAAAGTTTCAAACTTATTCTTGTTATTTATAAGTACATAATGTACTTCAATCAGATTTTATGTCTCTCTCAGATTAAGCTGGTTGTCGTTGTCTGTCCATAAACATTATTTTAATGTATCACATATCAAACCAGTGCTATTCGGTGTCTTGACAGCCAAAAACTTGTAGAAAATGTTCTTAATTGCTGGCATGGATGTCATATAATTTCTCATTACAAATCATTCAAGTAGGGTGTGTACATTATGCAAGACAAGAGAATGTGATACGTGTACAATGTACTTGCATTCAAGATTTGAATAGGTGTTTGCGCGGCCTAAGATTTCTTCGCCTTCTATATAACATCGATTTCCGATTATTTAATTTTCAAACCGTTTTTTTTTTTCTTTTCTTTTTTTTTTTTTTTTGCTTTTTTTCATTTTTTTTTTTAATCTTTTTGCTAAAAATCGACTGAAGCCAGCCGTTTGAACGGATAAACTATGTTTAGTCTCGTTTGTTCATGACTAAAGCAGCAATCTGTTATACTAGTAAAAAATCTAAATGCAGTCGCTGCATCTCGGTGCCCTGTAAGATGAATTATAGTGTATAAAAATAAACTTAAACAGGACAGTACGATTAAGATTGAAAATACCACAGAGCTTGCAGCCCTTTGATTTCCATTGATTTAACATATTACATTTGACGGTGTGGGCTTGACAACAAATAAACTACCATTTCGATAACGATTGTCGTTCGATTGTTGTTTTTTGTTTGTTGTTCTTTTTGTTACAATGTAGTGTTTCGAATGATTTCATTTGCAGCACATACGTTCGTGTGGTTTATTGTTGTATATATGAGCCGCGTCACGACAAAACTAACATAGTGGGTTTGCGACCAGCAATGATCCAGAATAACCTGCGCATCTGCGCAGTGTGATCAGGATCCATGCTGTTTGCTGTCAGTTTCTCTACTTGTAAAAGAGTTTATAAGTGACCAGCATGGATCCTAATCAGACTGCGTGAATGCGCAGGCTGGTCTGGATCCATGCTGGTCGCAAGCACACAATGTTTGTTTTGTCATGACGCGGCTCATATCAAGTTAAATGTCTTGTTCGGGATGATTTTGCAATTGTAACGCATTCATATGGAAATTCCATCGTAATTATATTGCAAAATCATGATATATTAGCCGATAATGCACGGGAGTGTTTGTGTTTTCCATATTCACGTATGTTTACATTATTTTAACACAAAAAAAGATAATCTTTGATTTGCAGTCTATAATATTTCATCAAAAGTGTTGTTTAACTTACGTATGATTTATAAGAATAGTAATATTTATTATTGCTATTTCAGGAAACAAGAATAAAATAAGCAGAGCAAAGAAATGGAATCACTGGTTTCTAAAATCTGATGGTACATGTGACGTGGAAACAGTGAACAAGATAGTGTACAAATAATTATTATTACATGTATTATCATAAATTGATCTCTTCATGTATACAGTCGAGTGTTATAGGACAAATTCTAAATTGTTTATTTTCGACCAAATAACCAATGCAACCTGGGATGTAGATCATATTATTTTCCTGTCAGTAGAATTTTTTCTGCCAAAAGATTAACTTTGTGAGCAAATATAAATGATCAAAAGTAAATTGTCGACTAAAACGACCAAGAATAATTTGTCAGCGACACGATCAACAAATTGATTGTCTTACAAATGATAATAAAATTGGACGAAATTATAAATTAATTGATTGTCGACAATTTGCGAATGATTTAGTGTTGATAAAAGAAATCCGAGAGAAGTACTTGCTTTACAAATGTCTTTTATAGACTAGTTAGTTGTAATCCTAGTCCCGCCTCTGTCGCTATCATGGAGCAGTGCGGTGGTACCGGGTAAAATTAGCTGTATTTCTGCCGCCTTCCCTTTGAATATTCCAATAATTATATAGAACTGCGTATATTAGCAAATACGAGCTATACGAGGAGTTACAAGCGAAAAGGGATTTTAAAAGCCTAAATAATAATGGAAGTAATACATAATATTATGTAACTCTACAAGGAAAGCGTATTGTAGAACAAAACAACAGCGTTGGTGACGAACAAGTGTCGAGATCTCAGAGTGCGAATGAGAACATAAATCAGGAACAAGAAGGTAATTAAGCAACAGAAGCAACTTTTCTATAAAATAACGACGCGAAAGCAACAATGACGTGCCATATTCGGAAAAATATAAAAAAGTGATGATAACAACAAGAAAATATTATATGCTGAGACATGATAATAAGGGAAATGAAAAATGGCAGACTCAGTTTTTAAAATGATTACCTAACTGAGTGGTTTGATGTAACAACCGGTGTAAGATAAGGGTGTTCATTATCAGCAGTATTTTTTAAGTTAAATGGTAAAACATTTAGGTTTTTATGAGTCGATGATGAACGTGTTTGTGTCTTGTTGTAGGCGGATTATATCGTACTGCTTGCAGAAAACTAATATGATTAACGAGAAAATGATAATTTTCACCGAACAGCCGGTGTTAAGCTAACATAATGTGCATTAATGTAAAGTCCATGTTAGACCTTTAATTGTGCTAATATATTTTATTGTAATATGGTGACTGTATTTTAGAATAACCAAACATATGTTTACAATGGTTTATTGTTAACTGAATATATAGAACTCAGTATTACTGCAAAAGATCCTCATGCTGGGTAAGCGGCTTTAAAACGGAACGGGCCTCTATAAAACTAGTCATGAGCAAGAAACAATATGCGCATTTTGTAAGGCTGGCATTGGAAATGAAAAACATGTTCTTTTAGAAATGTATGAAACTAACAGAGTTGTATATACACACAATGCTAGCATGAGTGAGAATGGAAACTGATTAACTGGTATTCCTTCATATAAATACAAAAATGATAAGAGTGCTTTCAAAACCTGTTGTAATATTCTTTAAAAAGAAATAATGCGTTATAGGAGATTAGATTTTAGTTGCCAGAGTGTTTAAGCACAATTTAAGTATTATTTGTAACATATAATTTTTATGATGTGTTTTATTAGCTCACCTGTCACAAAGTGCCTTGGTGAGCTTTTGTGATCGCTTTTAGTCCGCGTCCGTCCGTCCGTAAACTTTTACTTTAAACGACATCTCCTCATAAACCGCTGAGCCAATTTCATCCAAACTTCAGAGGAATGTTCCTTTGGTAGTTTAAAGAATTTAATTCCAAGCAGAACCCTGGTTGCCATGGCAACCGAAAGAAAAAAAAACTTAAATATCCTCTTTTAGAAAACCGATAGAGCTAGAGCTTAAATATTGGGCATGAAACATCATCTAGTCAGTGTTTACCAAGTCAAAAATGGCCCCGCCCTGGGGATCATTGATTTTACTTATATGTATGTAGTAAAAACTTACAAAATCTTCTGTTAAAAAACCCTATGACCTAGAGTTTAGATATATTAAGCATGAATTATATTCTAATGAGTGTCTACTAAGTTTGTTCAAATAAAAGCCCTGGGGACAAAATTGGCACCGCCCAGAGGGGGTCATTGTTTTTCCCTTTATGTGTATAGTAAAAACTTTAAAAAAAATCTTCTTAGAGCTAGAGCTTCGATATTTATCATGAAACATCTTCAAATTGGTGTCTACCAAGTTTGTTCAAATAAAAGTCCTTGAGTTAAAATTGGCTCCACCGGGGGGGGGTTGCTATAAACAGGTGAGCGAATTAAGGGCCATCATGGCCCTCTTGTTATAATTATCATCAATAATCATTATATAATTATTATATTATTATCATTATATTATTATCAATTTCACTTATGATTGCTGGTATCGTGAAATAGTTTACATGTGTAACATGTTAAACATTATGTTTATGTTAAATGTTGTGTATATAAGGGGGCTAAGTCTACAATTCATATAGAGTTGTTACGATTGTAAGGCCTGTATGTGTTTTGGAGTTATCCCCCACCCCCACCCCTCTTGTTATTTTTTATAGAATAGGTATACATTAAATTCAGTTTTATTAATGCTTTTTATATAAATTTAAATCATATAACGATGAAAATAGAATAAAAAATATATTTGTTGTCATTTTGTATTTTACAAGACAAGACAATTTAGTTAAGAAAAGTATTTTTTGAAGAATTTTGTAGAAATGGACAACGTTTGTTCCACACATCACATTATCTGTGCCCTTATTTGAGCCGCGTCACGACAAAACCAACATAATTGGTTTGCGACCAGCATGGATCCAGACCAGCCTGTGCATCTGCGCAGTCTGATCAGGATCCATGCTGTTCGCTATCAGTTTCTATACTTGTTAAGGTGTGTTTCCTTGTCCTATGTTTTAAGTAGTTTAAATTCATCTTCACTGCTTTTTTCACGTAATGTCTTGCTCTCACCTTCATGAATTTATTAAATATTAATGACAGATAATTGTTATGACATTCCTCTAAAACCTGGACGATATATATTAAAATACTCATTCATGTTGTAAACTCTGTTGTTAATGTAGATATGAGTGTTGTATTAAGTATAAAATATCTAAATCTGGAGGAACATAATTATCGATGTATTGTTGGAAATGTCTCATTAAATACTATTGTTTTCTCCTTTTGAGACAACTTTTGATTAAGGGAATTTACTTCAAAATGCTTCGTAATCATAATTTTAGTTAAGAGTCTTGCAATAAAAAAGAGCCTTTAATTGTCAATAATTTTTATCTACTTCCCTGTGTTTACTTCCCTGTATTCTGTCCCAGCTGTAATTATTAAAACATATCCCGCACCTGATATCTCTCGTAAATTGTCAATTATCTACTTCACTATAGTTAACTGCTCACATCCTGTCTTGGATATCTCTCCCACAGCTGCAGAAATCATATTTTACTCGACTTGCGGCTTGTCCAATATGGTTTCTCAAGCCAAGTATATTCTGGTATTGTGCAGTTAAGTCTTAAATAGCCTGATCAATATTTAATAGCTTACTAGTCAGTAATTGTTTTCTCTCTTTCCCTGGGTACATGCACGCCGTAAGAAATTAAGGCACAGGGAATTGGCATTGGAGCTTGGCTGATTTGTTTCACCAACTGGTTAAGATCCGATCAAAGCGCTGTTGTTGTACATATAGGGCAGGTCATAGGGACCAAAGTACCCCTTCGTCGGCGGGAAGGTAAGCTTCTATCGCAAGCTACGACTCGATGTCCTAAATAAAGCCGAGGGGAGTGACCTTAGAGTGGGTTAGCCCCCTACCACAGAGTGGCGGATTGAAAGTCAGGCCCTTTGTACAAACAGCTACTTTCAGGGGTAAACTCTCTCATTATTGTCCAAGGTTACTGTGCATTTAAGTTTCCATTGGCCGCCATACAGTAACGCTTAATATTAATATTCCATGGACATTACATGCAGATTCAAAATAAACCCTTTAATGAGATGACTGACGACGTATCCAGAGTCCGAACTTGACAGCAAAAGCTGCATTTTGTGCCTTAACTAGCTGATGGGCTCTCATTAAGCATAGACTACATACATGAACATTGTAAATACATGTAGTATATAATTGTTTAGTGCTTGTTTATAACAGCTGTGAACAGAATTGTGTTAGATTAATAATATCTGCCATATGTTGCGGTTCGGACCGGAATATCCGTCCCGAGGGGACCCGCCCATTGGGCGGTAACGAGGCTTGCCGAGTTACCGCCCATGGGCGGGTTCCCGAGGGACGGATATTACGATCCGAACCGCAAACATATGTTAGATATTTTTTCTTGCATATTCTGCCATACTATTTCATATTTAAAATGGTTTACCTCAATATGATATATGTTCATGGAAATTAAAGTAATTTCATCCCTAACTATTTTCTTACAATAGCGTATGAACTTACAACTTAAATAACAACAGTGAAATGACGTCATCATAAGCACATATTTCCCTTCTAAAACGACGTCATTTTAACGCGGTTCATTCATAAAGTGCGCTAAAATGACGTTGTTGTTTGGCACGCGACTCGTCTGGCACCCCCCATGCCAGATGAAATTTCCGGCATGGGTAAAACTCACGGAAACGCCAGTCTGCTATGCAAGAAAATATTTTCTTGCATAGCAGACTGGCGTTTCCGTGAGTTTTACCCATGCCAGAAATTTCATCTGGCATGGGGGGTGCCAGATGAGTCGCCTGCCAAACAACAACGTCATTTTAGCGCACTTTATGAATGAACCGCGTTAAAATGACGTCGTTTTAGAAGGGAAATATGTGCTTAGGATGACGTCATTTCGCCGTTGTTATTTAAGTTGTAAGTTCATACGCTATTGTAAGAAAATAGTTAGGGATGAAATGACTTTAATTTCCATGAACATATATCATATTTAGGTAAACCATTTTAGATATGAAATAATATGGCAGAATATGCAAGAAAAAATATCTAACATATGTTTGCGGTTCGGACCGGAATATCCGTCCCTCGGGAACCCGCCCATGGGCGGTAACTCGGCAAGCCTCGTTTCCTCCCAATGGGCGGGTCCCCTCGGGACGGATATTCCGGTCCGAACCGCAACATATGACAGATATTATTAATGTTCCTGAATTATGAATAATTATAAAATTACAATGTACAACTCATGACATTTCCTGTGAATAAATTTCCCTTGTAATGAATGTATGAATAAACTGACTGAACTATGTAATGATGTTACAGCAGACCCTGTGAAATATATTTCCTTCAAAAAAGTTTTCTCTTCATGAAAACTCCTGTAAAATTTATATATCACGTGGTTTAAACGATGAAAGTTCAAAGGTTATATGTCATAATTAATAAATTCATTCAATAATCAAATCAAAATAAACAACAGAGAAATGTTTTAACAATTTATTCGAAAACAAGACTGATAAACATGACCTACATGTTACGATGTATATTTCTTAAAAAATAATTAAGGATGCAACCAGTACATGATGTGATAGCACATGTCATTATTTAATACTTTCATTGACATGTTATCACATACATCTGTATACATGTATGTATATCTTTCCGTACATTTCTTTAAAAAAATCATTAAGGATGCTACCAGTACATGATGTGAAAGCACATGTCATTATTTAATACTTTCATTGACATGTTATCACATACATCTGTATACATGTATGTATATCTTTCCGTACATTTCTTTAAAAAAATCATTAAGGATGCTACCAGTACATGATGTGATAACACATGTCATTATTTAATATTTTCATTACATATATGTATATCTTGATATTTAGAAAATCAATAAAAAAAGTTAACAAACTGTTTACCTAACAAATGATTTTAACAATCTTGTTTACATTTCATATACATGACCTAGCTGTAACAGATGTTGACACTTCTTACTCCCAGGATCTATAACTTCAAATTTTATTAGGGTAATAATTTAACAGATAAAGTTCTTGTGCCAATAAAAACAGACAAAGCCCTGCGTGGCAATTTATAACATGCTCTTGACGTAAAAAATGACAGCCCGGTGTCACACATCCCAGGTGTCTTCTTACATAAGGCTGTTTGACTTCAGTGTTTCAGAAAAAAAATCCCAACAACTCTTCTTGAAAATATGTGATAAGACAATTTTAAAGTTAATGCTTCTTTAAAATGGTAAGATTTACTATTCACATGCCAAAGCTTTATATTCACAGATAAGCCAAAATGCTTCCTTCTTTTAGTATTACACCAGCTGTGCAATACCTTTATTACCATCATAATATAAAACTGATATTTATGAAACACTAGTCTATACATGTATACCATCCTAATAAGATATTGCAAAACTGCTTAATATGAAATTTGATAACATCAAGAAAGAAATTTCATCAACATCTGGGGATAAAGACCTAAAATAGTTAATAGTTAAAACATAGATATATTTGATGTTTCAATACCAGTACATCTAAAAATACTGTAAATAATTTTACAATTGTTTTGATAAAGCACATAAATGATTTAAAACTTTATTAGATGCTCTATTTCTGAACCAGCATTTACATGCAATTTTTCAATTTTATGAGAAACTTTTTGAGTATTATTTGACTTTCACTTCTTGTTATAAAGACATATTTGCATGTACTGGCTAAAACAAGGTTCAGAGAAGGAAGGTGGGTTAATTGACATTTGTTAAAATACTGTAAAATGATAAAGTTTGGGGGAAAGGGTAAAGAAATAAAAGTTCTAAGCATGAAAAGAAACCTCATAATTTTCTGCCACACACCTTTTATCTTCACATTTTGTTTAAAAATATTGAACAACAAAACAAGTTATAAAATAGTGTAAATAAATCAAATACTGTAAATGCAGCAGTACTATTAGAACATAATCACAGATTGCTTGTATTTTCTTATTCATAATTTACACAAGTTTTAAAATTCGATTTTTCTCAGACATAAAGTTCCATCTTCGAATTTTCTCTGAGATATATAAAAAATATCTATGAATATACAACTATGAAGACACTTCTTGAGGTGGTGCCTCTGACCACGCCTTTGTTGCCTCAGGAACGTCTACCGTTGCTTGGGTGAGGAAGGTATTATCTGGCTTATCATCGTCTTTAGGCATGCTGTAAATATAAAAAATATTTTACAGTTAAATTATGGCTATGCTTATAAAAATCAGTGTACATATGTATCAAGTACAGGGCATTTGCAACCTATTTAGTTTTATTAACATATTTGTTCAATTGTGATAAAATCTTGCTTCTTATTTTTGTCTTCTTCTTGAAACAATTAAACCAGTAAATGTCTTATGAGGCAAATTATATTTGGTTCCTCAGACCATAAAATTTTTCACAGATCAATGATAAGGAAATCTGTCAGCATATTTCAGTCATACCTGAGTAAGCCTCAGTCGTTTGACTGACAAATGGGCATAATTTAAGGATACATGGTGGTGACACTAAAAGGGGAGTTACCAGTGCCAGAATCCCTGTGTTCAGCTATTCCTTTACCACTATGACAGAATAATTTGTCACCTTCAAGTGCAATAACTGATTAACAGCTAGTGCAATAACTGATTAACAGCTAGTGCAATAACTGATTAACAGCTATCAAATTTAGAAGGACTTACTACATTATTGCACTAAGGCAACAAGATGTACCTTTACTACCTCTAAATAATTTACCAATTCATGGAATAATTTACCAATTCATGGATAGGCATCGGATGTCAACCTCCACCAGCAGAGCAGTCGCTGCATAGCATAACGTTAACAGTGTTGATGCTACTTCAAACCAAACATTATTACTAAAAAGAAAAATTAACAAACCTCATATCATCTTTAGAGGCATCAGCATTAATATGTCTGTGTTTCCCCTGTTCTATAGCAGGTAGGACTGGAGCGGAAGTTACTGTCCTCTGCTCTTTACTGCTACCTCCATTCATTCTGGCAAACAGGTACCGTAGAACCCGTTCTTTTTGCTCCCACGTTAGATCACTGACCTCAACCTTGCCACTGGAGTATCTGTATATAAAAACATAATTGTGATGAATGAAAATGATATTTCAAATGATGACTTAAAATTTCTATCAAAAATGATCACAACTCCTTGCAGTGGTTTTCCTCACTCAAAAGGGATAAGAGGCCTTAACATCTTGATTTTGGGAAAAATAATTGTTAAACTTGGTTTTGGGAAAAATAATTGTTACATTTGCTAATTTGGGAAGTAAAATAGCATGTGTAAGTTCTAACTTTTGGGAAAAACTGCATGATTTTAAAGAAAAATTCAATTGGGAAGAGGCTTTTTATAGGCCTCTGTTATATAAGGCGGAAAATCACTGCCTTGAGGTTGATGAGCTCTCTTTATAAAATCATTAAAACTGTAGATAATTAATTGTAAGTTATAGAATTATTTCAATCAAAAGTTCATATTAAATCTAGACAAGACATAGTTACCATATATCTCTTACAGTCAAACCTGTCTGCTATGACCACAATAGTGAAAACATTCTTTGCTGTATAGTATGCATGGTATATTATCACAAGTGATCTTTATTTACAGGTAAATAATGTTAAAATAATGTTGATATTGAAAGTCAAATCAATGTGATCTAAATTCAGTTGTTGTCTATTACACTGTGAGGCCTGCTGGTTTTCCCTCATATTAAGCATAGAAAATATAAATTATTTGATATCTAACTCTATCATTTGATATCATATCAGAATTAAGTAAGATACATTGATATCTTCACTAACAAAGTTATAATACATGCATATAAAATCAGATCTTTTTATGATAAAAGGACAACACATCCAAGGTAACAATAACACAATAATCATTAGCAACACCATACAATAACATAATAAAAGTTATAAAATAAGTTTCTAAGTCATGCATAATAAAAACACCAAAGATGAAAAAATTCATTCAATACAACATAAAATATCCTCTTTAAATATGGATTGTTGGTTATTAACAACAGATTATGATTACAGACATACAGTATTTTTCATATTATAATAAGATAAGATGTGAATAAATTGTAGCAATGTGATTTCTGTCATTCATTAAACATAATTGTGACACAATGTTCAACATTTGTTTAACAACATTTTGAATTACCTGAGACCTAATACATGTAATATACATAAACTGTATATCACTCATTAAGAGCTAAACTGCAATAAATTGAATTTCAATTATTACTAAGTAATTTTTTTCCATTATTCATTTTATTCCATTATTCAAAATTCAACAATTAGATCTTGTAATTGCATACAGGATTTAATATACATGTATCAATAGCATATACATGTATTCCTTGCATAGTTTATTATATGAGAATGCCATAAAACACAATTGTAATCAATGGATTTAGCTCAATACAGGATTGGAGCAGTACCTCTAGACGCTTGCAGAAATCATGATCACAAAATAGACAAATATCGTTTTTTTCGCCGAATTTTACATTTTTCCTTGATTATCGTACTTGATTCGTTGTGAAAAGATGATTTCAATCCTTTTTTTAGTCACAGCCGTAATCAATATATATAAAGGGCAGTAACTCTCTGCTAAAAAGCAATTCAAATATTCTAGTTTATTTTCTAAACTCTGGTTTAACCCCTAAAAAGGGGTCAGAATAATTACATGACCAAACAGAAGGGAAGACTAATACAGAGACACTACATGCATATAAAAAGTTTCATGATGATCCAGTTGGGATAAGAAGTTCATGAGGGTTTTTATATATGAGGAGAAACAAACATTATCCTAAGACCAGTTGATAATCTCAACCACTGAGTCAAAAATAAAAGTTTACAACACTTTACAAGAATACAAACTAAAACTTACATGATATTTAAATCCATTTAAATTTGTGAATAGAGAATAAAAATGAAAACATAATCATGGTTGGGTTTGTTTTTCCTTAAACTATCATATTTTGTCTGAAATGTAACAATGAACTATCCAAAATAAAATAAAAAGTATCGAACAAAAAAGAATTTTTAACAGGTTAACTTAAAATCTATATAACTTTTGTAGCTTTCAGCCATTATACAGACAAACTGACAGACAGACTTGTATAACAGACAGAATTTGTATGACAGACATACTTTGTGTGACGCAAATCTGTATGACAGATAGATTTGTATGATTATTAGACAAATTTTGTATGACACAAAATTTGTATGACAAACAGAATTTGTATATGAAAGACAGACTTTGTATTACAGGCAGAACTTGCATGACAGACAGAACTTGTATGTTACAGACAGAATTTGTATATGACAGACAGAATTTGTATATGAAAGACAGAATTTGTATAATACAGACATAATTTGTATGACAGACAGGTTTGTATGACAAAAAGGGAATTAAAGACTGACAGATAGTCAATCTGCATAGATCCTCACAAACCTTGAAAATGAAAGAAACTTTTGATCAAGGAATAGAATAACAACATAACAGTAATAAATAAATGTCATTTAAAGACTCATGCTTAACACGTAATGCTACAGGATAGACATAGCAAGTTGAAAATAGATGTCTGTGAAAAGTCTGGTTCTTCCAGGTTAAAGAATGATTGAGCATGTATGAACAAAATTAATAAAAAAATTGTTGAATAATCATAGATGGTCAGATAAGGTTATGAATTATCAAGAGCTGAATTGCTAAAATAATGTAATAAAAAGCAGCACACCTCCAGATTAAAATTAATCTCTAAGAAAACTGAAAAAGTGACAAGTAAAAATTTAATTTTAAATGACATTAACATTATAAGCATATAAGTCACTTTTGATCAAAATATGCAGAATTTTCTCTTACTGCAATGAGTAACAGAGTAACATTTTAATGACTAAAAAACAGTTAACTAAAAAACAATAAAACATTCAAAGTTTGACATGAAATATATAGATAAATATATATATATATATACATTTCTTAAACAATAAAAATTAAATTAACCTTAAATCATGTTTGATATTTTTTTTCAAGATTATATTTTTCTCATCTGGTGGTGTGCCACTTTAAATTTAAAAACAAAAAAAACAGAAATATACGTACAGTCTTTCTGCAGCTTCAAGGTCTTTGAACACACTGTTAGTACTGGTGTCTGTCTTGTTGAATGTTCTGATCTTTGGAAAGTCTCCCTTACCAGTGTGTGCTGCCAGCATCTTCTCCTGATACGCTCTTTGTGCATCACGTCTATACTGTTCTCTGATTGGATATAATAAATTTGAATTGTATCAGGTGCTTATTTATAAGAAAACAATTTTTTTAAGTCTTGTTGTGCCGAATTTAAAAATAGAATTGTCCTGCTTGAATTTAAAACAGTCCATTGTAAAATGTGAGTTTTGACATCAAAATGCTGAACTTTAGGCAGAATTTGGTCAGACTCAGTACAGAAGTGAAGGCTACCATTGCTTCACAAAACTGTCATACATATTTTTTATACTATAATTTAAAGATGTTCCACTGAGGTCAAAAAGCCTAAAATCATAAAATTGGAAATTCTTTCATAAATCAAGTGAAGCACTTTAAATTGAAAAATCTACAAAGAATAATGAAGAAATATACACAGAATGAAATTGGATATCAGCTTTTTTGTCCGATTCTATAAGCTCGATCTAAGTGAAAAGCTATGCAACGCTTTTCATTTTTGTGTCAATTTGGACAATAAAATGATAATATGACAATAGGATCTGAAAAATTGCTAACCCAGACCTCCATCAAACTGTAAACAAATCTCGGGAAATTATTTCCAGTCCCATCATGTCAAAAAATCTCTGTGGAGTCACTTTAACTACAAATCCACTACCCCTTATCTCTAAATTACAATAACGAACACTTACTGGTTATTTGCTATTTCTGATTTAACAGTGTCTAAGGCTTCTAAGAAGAATCTTTCCAACTCTGTTCTTTGGTCTAGAATGTTTTTAGCAAGTCTCTTCACTTTGTTCATTTCCTTTGTTTTTAGTTCAATAATTCTCTGTAATTTGGCAAGTTCTATTTTAGAAGCTTCAGTCTCAATTCTAAACCTTTCCAGTAATGCTTTTTTCTCTGTATTAAACTCCCTTGCCATGTGACTTAGAGAATGTTCCAGTGTTGTTATTTTCTCAGAATTCTGAAAAAGAATAATAGAGGTTTATTCAGAAAAAAACAACATAATTATCATGATAACCTAGTTATCCAGTTTTTTTTTATTATTCAATAATCAACCTGTTCTTCTTTGGATACAGATTCTTAAAACCCCCTTAATCCTAACGTGTATTGTCAAAATATAAGCACTTTCTTCAAGGTTCAAAGGTCTAATATGTAAATCTGTTCAAAGTTTGTGAGCTCTTCATTTCATTCAGTAATTTCATTTATTCAGTAACAAAGACATTTAAACACTGCAGAGATGTTAACTCATCTACATGTATAATATAGTTTTAAAGATTTTTATTCAAGCTTAATTATGAACAGTGAGGTCAAGCTTAATTATGAACAGTGAGGTCTTACTACATAAAAAATAATTTTCACATCCATTCCAAGACTAACAAGTTCTGGTGTCATATACGATAGCCCCACTCTAAAACCAGGGCTTTTTTTCACAGTTTGGGGAAGCAGCCCTGCCCTTAATTTTGGGGAAAAATTACACGGTATATTTGCAAAAGGGGAAGAAAAACTTGATGTAAATTCAATTTTTGGGGAAAACTGCATGATTTTAAAGAAATTTTCTTTGGGGAAGCAGCCCTATACCGGCCCCTGTTATAGAAGGTAAAAAGGCCCTGAAAACTCATCTTCCCTGTGCTGAGAGGCAGGAACTTGAACCACTAGGCCACTGCTAGCAAAAATTACGAATACAAATATCTTCAAACAATTTTTTTTCGTGTGTGTGTGTTTGTGGGGGGGGGGGGTTGTCGCACCAACAATTCCTTACATAAAAAAATCCAAAGTCAAGCCTATAGCAGTTGTGTGTGTGTGTGTGGGGGTGTGTGTGTGTGTGGGGGGAGGGAGTGGTTTCGTCAGTCAATATCTTTATATATGAATTAACAAAATACACAAAGGTCCAAAATAAAGAAAGAGAACAAAAACAATAATAATTTACATATAAAATGTACATCATTTGTCGGCCATAAATGATAACAAACATTTTTGTATTAATTCAAATCATATGAACTCACATCTTTAAGCTGCTGTTTCTGATTTTTGGATTGAGAAACTTTTTCTTGAACCATCATTTCGTTGATTTCCTTGTCCCCTTTCAGCAGTTCATTTTCTTCTTCTAGTTTTTCTTTCTGTTTACGTAACACTTCTCCTTCCTTCATGTGATAACTCAATGCTTCAGACAGTCTTACATTTTCTTTGTAAACAGACTTTGTTGTTTCATCTAGGTTCCTAAAATATATCAAATACTGATTTATTATCAAAAAATTAGTAAATCAAGTGAAGGGTAATGTGTTAAACAAATTGGAAAATATGCTAACTTAATTCATTTTGGAAACAATAATTTAGTTTGTTTGTTTTTCTACATATTGGCAACTTATGAAGTTTATATGCCATGATTCAAATGGTTACAACATGTTATTTAACAGGAACGATGTGGTGGATGAAGACCGCAGATGTGCCCTTCTGCGCATTATTTCAGACATGAATAGACCTGAGTAGAACCAATGATGTGCCATAAGCTAACTGGATAGCTTCCTCATATGAAAGAATCCAAAGTCCCTGTTGGGCTTCGAACCCAAAGCAGTGAGGGGCAAGTGGTTATAAGTCAACACTCTTAATCACTTAGCCACATACGCCACATCTTCTCTTCAAACAGGGCATCATTTCTATACAGTAATATGTTTTACAAGAACTTGAAGAATATCTCAATAAGTTAATACTATTTTAGTAGGACTGTATTATACAGAAATTGGGAACTTGTCTTGATAAATGTACATAGATTATATATTTTAAGAGATACACAATAGACAATACATTATCAAACTTGATGCTTTTGCCTGACATACTTGTTTACTTGATATAAACATGACATAAAATTATGATAATGGCTCAAGATTAAATCATCTGAGTAGTTCATATATCAAATACAAAATGTAAATAAATATATTACGCAATAGCTTCAGTATGAGCTCTTTCTGCCAGTTCTGCTATCTTCTGATTGGCCTCTTGTTGTAATCTCATCTGTAATTTAAAGCTTTATTTGAATAACTTCATACAATTCAATCAAATAACACTTTATTTTCTTTCTTTATTTGATTGTTGATCACATTATTATTTTGATTCATATGTCATATAATATAACCCTTGATAGTAAAATAAAAGTTATTCTTTTCTACAATTCAACTTTATAAAAAAACAACACATTATTCTATTATAATCGATTTATATGTGAATCCTGCATAACTGGTGTTTTTAGCAATGTTTTAACTCAACATTTAAGGGACTCCACTAAAGTTGTTTTTTTGACATGACAAGACTGGAATTATATTTTCGAGATTTATGTACTATTCAATGTAGGTCTAAGTCAATAACTAGTTTGCAAAATTTCAGATCATTCGCTCACTTTGTTTTTCCAGAATAACTGATAAACAATTCTCATTTACCTTCTCTTCAAAAAACTTCTGTTCCATTCTTGATAGGGTTGATTTGTGCTCTCTGTTAGCATTGTACATTGATTCTTTGATCTGTAAAAATGTCACAAAGATAGTTGTTAAGTTACATAACATTTAGGTTCATCCTTTACACTAGATTATAAAAGTAAAGTAACTTTATAATTGGTTATTCTCAGTGCTTGCTAGTAAAATAAGAGCCTGGATAAAAGGGTCCATAACTCTGTCAAAATCAATGTTAGAGTTATGGGCCTTGGAGAGTGACCTCCTACTATGCTCTCCAATATGTGTGTGAAGTTTCAATTACAACCCAGTGTTAGCGATTTTCCCTTACTTTACCGAGTACCTGGGACTCAGTGCTAATAGATCTGTTACGTCCCAATTCAAATGGGACGAGTCCTCAATTACAAAAATGCCGATGTTTGCATAACTTCATAATACAATCAAATTTGTGACTGTTGATGTTCGCTAATACCATTGATTGGCCCAAAATGAGGCCGAGCACTTGCTCCTAGTCTACGTTTGGGATATAAATCTGCATTGCTAATGAGAAGGGAACAAATCAAATTAAGGTGAAAGTCAAGTTCTTATATATATAATAATACAATTTATTAAAAGTGAATAGAAAATTGTTTTCAATTAAAGCAAAAAAAAACTTAAGAGAGAATTAACAATTATCGGCGAAAAAGTGTTTCGTCCCAGGGACTTAACGGCCCTTTTTTTCTTTCCTCCCTGGCAATTTTAGCGAGTAAATTGATATGTTTACTCAGTAAACGTGAACACTGCAACCCATTCCCTTGCGTGGTTTTGAAGATACCAATTAGCATGCAAAAAACTTAAATAACCAAAGCGTGATGGCAACACCTGGGTGAGTACAATTCATCAAATTGTCAAGCTACAAAAACCTCTGCTTTTATACAAACATGGAAAAGCATGCTTTTGAAAGGTAACAACAACAAAAAGCAAATTTGCCATCTGTTTGTAGTATTATAACTTTCCATATAGTTTTCATTAACATTTTCTTCCTTTTTTCAATCTTTAAGTTATTTTATACAAACATGGAAAAGCATGCTTTTGAAAGGTAACAACAACAAAAAGCAAATTTGCCATCTGTTTGTAGTATTATAAACTTTCCATATAGTTTTCATTAACATTTTCTTCCTTTTTTCAATCTTTAAGTTATGATTTTTTTAATATCAATGCTTTTTTCATTCATTTATGTGTCTTTCTCAACACACTGCAGAGTTACCCAAACTCTTAACCTCTTACAATGCACAGAATTATGGTATTAAAAAGAAATATCAGAATTTCTTAGTTAATATTTATTGATATGGAAATGAAAGATGTCATAAATAAAACCGATTGTGTGTTGTTTATACCTCATCAAGATCTTTCTGCATTTGTCCCCTCTTTCTTCTGAATTCTTTCACCAACTTCAGCTCGCTCTGCATCATTTCAACATCTTTAGTTTTATCTGACAACTTCTCCTCCAATTCATTTATCTGTTTACTAAAGTCTTCTACAATAAGCTCCTTTTCTTTCCTATTTTCCTTTTTCTGGTCCCTGATCTGCTGCTGCAGTCTCTCCAACTAAAATATCAAATCCAATTTTTAAATTTTTTAAATATATGCTACCTTTTTTAATTGTACCAACTCACTATTCTGTTAGTTTTTTAACAAGCATAATGGTAGCGGTCAGTTGTAAGGAATATTTTCATTCATATTTTGTCACCTATTATTACCTGTCATCTAAAAGTAATTACGTTTCCTTAAATTGAAGCTTATGCCAAAATAGACATAGGGGCTTTGAATTTAACTGCTTCTGCTTGGTCCAAAAAAGGATGATTTAATAACCTTACTTATGATTAATAAACAAAAATTAAAAAGTAACATTAAAAGCTAGGCATCACTTTTTTTAACACAAGCATAAAGCTACATTTGTACATGTCTTCAATTTAAGAACACTTTAAATTGACAATTGCAAATTTATATTGCAGCTGTAAAAACAGATTTAAACCAATTAAATCAATGAAAATAAACCTTGTTCTGCTAATATGACTGATTACATGGTGGATGAGATAAATGACCTTAATACATTAGGAACAATAACATACATGGTTGTCTTTAACAGCATCTTCTTTTTTAAGGAATGTGATGACATCAATTGTATCACGCTCTGTCTGTAACATCTGATTCTGAAGAGCATCATTCTCCAGCATAAGCTGTTTGGCATTGTCTCTAATAAAAATTTTAAAAAACACATGTAAGTGTATGAGAACATTTTTTTTTCATTTCAGATGTTCACCTTTCGTCCACAGGAGATTTTACACGATTACAATTTACATGGAAAAAGATTCATGGCAATTTAAAAGCAAAGATTATCATATCATGCCTATAAAAAATATGTCCAAGACAATGAATCTATATAATTAACTGAATACTATTTAAACATGATGATCCATTTATAACATATGATGAGGGACAAAACATTAATGCAGAAAAAAATTAAACAAATTTACAGAGCTTCATGTAGAATTTGAAAAAGTGTTATCAAAATTCAGACAACAATGTTTTAAAAACTGTGAAACAACTGAAGACAATGATAAACAGCCATATAATCCTATAAACTCATGCAAACAGTATACAAGAACGTTTTGGGTTTTTCAGAGTATTACATTTACTCAACTTCAGTTGTTCAGCTGAGCAAAATATAAAACCACAAGCAGAACATTTTCTTTTTTGATAATATTATCTTGACAAATTTAGGAATTATTTTTATGTTTTTACAAACCTGTACTCTTGTTTTGATTTTTCTGCAATATCCAGTCTGACTTCCCATACTTTGGAGTTGGCAGCTGCTATTTTAACAATTGATTCATTCTTTTTCCCAGACTTCCCTCCTTTCTTTCCCTTCCTAGAAAGCAGGAATACAATAAGACTTATAGTTATCAGTATTAACATGATTTCTAACACTTTTCATATTATTCCCATATAAAACAGATAGGGCTGATCAAGTCAAGTGTATTATTATACAATATATGCATGGGATAATAAAAGCATATCCTAGAGTCAACACAGTCATTGTGTATATGGAATAGAATCTAGTTTAGCGAACCCCAGTGGCCATGTGTTATTGTTACACAATGATTGTATTCTCTTTCCAAGTGCTATTCCGAACTTTGTATTATTGGCATATTCTGTAACTTTTCTTATATGTCTGCAGTGAATTTCATAATCAATATCTTGTGTGAAGAAGCTCAATTTTGTTGTTGTTTTTTTCTGCTAAGGGCAAGACATTTTTGGCCAAAATATTTCGCCATGGCCATCCCAACCAAACAGTCGATGATAGTCTTGGAATAAGGTCAAAATGTCTTGGAATAAAGTTAAAGATTTTTAACTTTAATGTATGTATGACTGCACTTGATAAAATACTGTGAGTATGTTGGTAATTAGAAATGCACCAATAATACAGAGTTAGAGTATACTAGTATTGTTTATCTTCTGGGTCTGCTAAACTGAATGTTTTCTGTGTACATGTATCAAAAAGTGTCAACAAAAGTTCAAAATAAAACAGTAACATTGGATATTTTTAAACATTAAAGTAAATTTATTGTTTCTGCCAACATTCTTCAACATAGAACACTTAGATTATAAGAAAATATAATGTAACAAACTACATGTATAGCACTGTGAAATGCTTTTTGCAATGAGTCATGGCCACAGTTGATATAGATCTAGTCTAATGGAAAAGGAGTCTGTTAAAAGGTAATAAAAAAGGAAAGAATCACAGAGAATATTGATATCCTACAAGTTGAGCTTGTTGGTTTTACTTAATGGTTTTACTTTAAATATGCTGACATGATAAAAAGAAATTTGTTAAGAATAAGATCAGAGACTAGCGCCAAAATGATTTGATACAAAATATCAGTGAGCAAATGTAGTATAAATTTCATACCCTTTCTTCCCCTTTTTACCCTTCCCCTTCTTGCCCTTTTTAGGCATTTTTGTTATTATTGTGTGTGCTGGTGTCAGAAATTTTAATCATATACGGCGGCCATCTTTGTTTACTTTGTCATGACAACTTAAGTTCGTACTCAATATTCTCGACCTCAGAAGTGCCAATTTAGAACTTATATTTCAATTTTATCATATTTTGACATTTTATTATTATTTTTCAATTTAAACTTTATTTTGTATCTTGACTTCAACGGTCGTTATTTTATGGAAAGTGGAAATCAATAGTTTATCCACAAATTATGGTTTATATGTCGATCAATTTAAAAAAGTTTGTAGATACATTTACATTTGTAACACATTTAAATATTCGATGCAAAAAGCATCGCTGATGATATTAAAGTACTATTTTAAAAAGCTACTGTTGAATTTTAACCATTTAAACTAACTATAGACATGCTTTTGAAATGTCGATCTACATGCAGGCCTATAGATATCCTATACGAGTACATGTATACATACATATGTACGTTCATTGAAAATATTTAATAACGACTTTTATTTCAATGCTATGAAATGTTGAAACAGCCTACAAATTAAATATTTGCTGCTTTCTATTCCAGCTTTGGCATTTAAGATTGTCAGTATCTCGATCAATCCGTTCATTAACATATAACACCATGAATATTTTATAGAATGTACAGGAGCAACTGATAAATGGCTGTTGTTTAGATGAGATAATTTAATTGCAGGAGTTATGGCCATTACTTAAATAGTTTTGGTGTTTTTTTTTCTTTAATTTACATACCTGTCTATTGGGGAATTATTGAAAAATACATAGTACGGACTTTCATTGTCAATTAAAATCCGTAATTATTATAAGGTGGCAAACTACATAATGTTAGAACTTTACTCTAAAGAAGATATTCAAAACCTACAATTTAAAAAATGACATGCATCTATGTTCTTTTTGTTTGTGCAACGTGAGCTGGTATAAAATGGTGGCTGGATAAAAGAAAACTTATAATTTAATGAGATTGAGAATGGATTTGTCAATAGGGAAGAGGATGCATAAATGTCTAGTCAGCCGGAAAGGAGATATGGGTACTGCAAACAGTCAACTAACAATCTTATAAAATTTTATAGTAGTCCTTCAGTTTCCAATGGTACGTCATCGTAAAAATAAAATTGAAATTTATGTATGATACTACTGTCTTGGAATAATTATTGCCCGTTACATGTACCTATGAACAGCTTTACAGTTGCTAGAGAGCGTGGGATATATTGCACTCATGATTATTATCTTGTTGATCTCTATAATGTAATATAAATCCGTGATAAATTTGGGTCAAAATATCAAGCGAGTAAGTTCACACACGTATACTGACCAACATTCTAATAATGTTTCACGGCTCTAGCAGTTATATTTTAGTAACATGCAACACAAGGACATTTTTGTATTGTTAAATGTTCGTTCGTTCATTTTGCATAATAAGGGACATTAATTAGCTTGCTGATCTCAAATAAATATGTCTCAAATTATTCAGGACTGGTGCGTAAGTTCACATAGTGAAAACTATTCAGAGAATGTTCCATGGGTTATACTTTCGGATTGATACGCGGAACTAGTCTAAATATGATATTTTTATTAATATCTGCTGATCTAACATACAGTTGTTTCGAAAAATACACAGATGCGTACAACTTTTCATAACATGATATGACTGAATAATTAATTTATTGACATTTAGACAAGCAACTTGGAATGACTGTTGTATGTGCCTAAAGTTGTACATACTTGTTTCCAAAATCATGTCTTTCTACGATAAGCATTATATCCTTAACAATTAACAACATGGTTTCAGCATTTCGTGTCAAAACATACAAATGTAGCTGTGAAACCCAACTTATCAGTTTCAATCAGGAAGTTCATGATAACTTAATTTAGAGCAAGACAAACAGACTGATGTCATTGTCATGGACTTCAGTTTACCATTTGAAGTCTACCATCACAAACTTCACAAACTTCTCCTTAAACTACACAGACTAGGTGTTTTATTCAGAGGTAATCACATGGACAAGGCCATTATTATATGGTCGCAACCCAAGGTAATCACATGGACAAGGCCATTATTATATGGTCGCACCTAAAACTCTGACAAACAAATATTCTGTCTGATGTCCCTCAAGGCTCGGTCTTAGAACTTTACCTTTTCTTATCTTATATGATTTTTAATAATCTCCATGACAGATTTAAAGGCAAGGTGGGACTATTTGGAGACGACACAATAGTACTCGTATATCATACAAATAAATCAACCCAAAATGTCCAAATCCTCCAAAAAGATTTCAACAGCCTTAAAAACTGGGTATCAGGTTGGTCCATGGAATTTAATCCAGATAAATGTGAAGTCCTGAGAATCAACCGCAAGAATGATCCAGTAATATTCCTTTATGAAATACATGGTCAACTAAAATCCACTGAGCCTGCAAAATATTTAGGTGTAACAATATGTAAAGATCTATCTTGGACCTGGATTTCATAACAGTACACCTTCTAGTTAGGTGGGAAACACTGAAAGTGTGTCTGAAAAATCCAAAGGGTGTTACCCAGGATCGAACCCAGGACCTCAGGAGTGACAGTCAGTGGTCTAACCAACTGAGCTATCGCGCCACCCACTTACTCAGATACATAAAAGAAAGGTCGGAACTTCCAACAAAGGGTCAAAGAAACTGCCTATGAAACGTATGTAAGACCCAAGTTAGAATACTGTTCCACGGTTTGGCATCCTTGGGAAAAATATGGTGCCGAAAAATATCTGGTTTACAAATAAGAACAAGTTCAAAGGTCAGTGTATCTTAATTGTTAAAAGATCTTAACTGGCAAACTGTAGAGCAGAAGCGCAACATCAGCACTGTTACCATTCTCTACAAAATCCAAAACATTTAATTAATCTTTTGAGGGTCGACCACATCCATCTGACACCCACTAGAAATCTAAACCACCTGATATACCATACTAAAGGACACAGCATCGACAATGGAATGGTAAAGACATTTGTTATTTAAACTAAAATCGCTACAAAAATTTGGTGGTAAAATGGTCCACATAATGCTTAAATCTCGTCCAGCAATATTAATTTTTAAGAATAACTCGGGAATTAATTTAGTCCCATAAAACCTTGAATGCGCGCACCTGCTATAAACAGTATGGTTGTGGTTTTTGACTGTTACCACAACAACGTTTACAAAATGGCTGAACACTAGCAATAGTTCAAGCGTTTGTACCAGCAAAGAAAACAGTTCAAACGTTGTTGTAAGTTGACATAAAATTGCATTGTTCAAGTTTGATATATTATAATTTGATAATCATTAAGAAATAATGACAAATAATTAAAGAAAAGAATTGTGGAACATTTTAATGTTGTTTAACATCAAATTGTAATAAATTTGTTCACATAAACGCTGCTAATTAGTCACCAAATAAGAATGTTTTAATGTCACACGAATTTGAGCTTTAGATAAATGTTTACAGTAACATGTGTACTGGGCAAAATTAAATGAAAAGCTTATTGACTAGAAGACCTATAATTGAAACCTACATGTAGCTATGACATGTATGAATTTCTAAATAACACAAACAATATTCAGTAAGTCTGTTTGCTTATACATTGAATAACAATCTTGGAGAACACAAATACAAGTCAAATTAATTGAAAATTAACATTGACATTCTTATATGAAATTTAAAAGTTCTTTGCAAATAGAGTTGTAAGGCCATATCTTGCCTGTGGTAATTTTTCAAGAAGGAAGTGGATGCCAATAGACAAGGTGTTAAGTTTAACGAATAAAAAAACAAGACCTATTATTTTGATACCTATAGTAAATTAAGGACTAAAGGAAATGCCCGCACAAAAAAAAAAAAATGGACAACTACATCAGGGGCGTAGCTTGAAAGAAACCAATGTGTAGGCACTTGTGTTAGGGGGGTTCGGGGGCATGCTCCCCCGAAAATTTTTGAAATACTACATTGCCATAGCTGCATTCTGGCGTATGTTAAGGCATGTTCTGAAGGAAGAGTATTCATAATTTTGCTGCATTTTCCTTACATTTTTCCATCAATATAAAGATGACAATACTAAATATATCACTAACTCAACATTTTGGCAAAAAGAGCTTTTTTCCGTAAACACCTTTGGGGTAATGATATACGAATTCAGAATTATACATTTAAAAAGAACAAATTTATGCAAATTTTGAAACAAATATCAAAATTTAAAAATTCAAAATAAGGTTGTCTAAATATATAATTAGAAAATAATAAAACAATGATCAAGAAGATCGAACGCCAAAGCACCCCTAATAACACATTGCTACACCGGACAATCGGTATTTAAATACCAATTGATGATGAAATATCTAACCTCACACAAACAGCATCTGATACATTTTCTCAATAAGATTTTATGCTCCAATAATTCATGAATGAAAGCCTCTTTTTATTGTTTATGGTGAAACATATATAGAACATAGAATATGACTGTTTAGGTGAAGTATAAAGAAAGTAAAGACAAAGCAAACTCACTCCTCCAATAATTCAATAAGTACGTTACCAATAGTAATGTAAGAAAAAGAATCCCGAAGAACTTTTATTATCAAACTATTTTGTAATTTGAATGAACTATTTCGCGCGAAGTAGTTTCAGAATGTTCAAAAATCTATTTCACAATTGTAAGAATTACTATCAGTGTGAATGAACTTAGCATGTCAGAACGCTCATATTCATTTACATGTTTATTTTAAGAACTAAAAAATCGGATATTTTCAATCATGTTTTTCCTTACATTCTTCCTTTCTTCTAATATTTCTCCATAAGTTACCTAAGTCTCTCTATAGTGATAATTCAACAATCAATTATTCTCTTATTTTTAATTGTACTTTCAAAGAGCTTACATTTATACGCAACATTTTTGTATCTTTATTTTGAAAATTACTTGAGGTATTGTTTTACTTGTCTGGATTACATTGTTGTGAAATGTTTGTAAATGTTACTTTCTTTATGTGCAATTTAATGAATAAATAAAGTTTCAACTAAGTATAAATAAAAAAAAAAAGAATTGCACCGCTAGCTTTAAAAGCAAACTCTCCACCACTACGCTAATTAATGCAGAATTTGATGTGTATTCAAACACATAACTTCTATATATCATTAAAATACATTTTAAAAAACTTCTGTAATAACACAGATTATGTTTCACTTTTACTTCAAAGCGACTTTATGAACTTGCCAGGTTTCAATTCTACTTTGTGTTTTGTGCTCAAAATTTGACGGAGATGCAGTTTGAACAGAATAACGTAAACATAATTAAACCATGAATATCTTAAGAATGGAAGAGAATATAAAAAACAAGATGTCAAGGCTTCATTCGAAAGATATCACTTAGTTTCCTCATCAGTTGTATAAAGCTAGCAGTCTACCAATATCTAGATATGGCATATCCTGGTCGTGCATACTTGTAATATTTATAATATTTTGAGTCGAAGGGCTCAAAAACTTTTATATTGTCAACAACTTTATCCGTGGTGTCTCTGATAGGTTTTACCACAGAATAACTTTATAACACGGCAACACTTTCGTTATGAAATAAAACTCGATATATTTTCAAATAAGGTGACAGGTCATTTTCTAAAATTAGGACCTACACATCTACCGCCCTTACCCTTAAATTTGTATTGCATTTTTGTAATCATTTAATTTTTCATTTCTGAGGAAAAAGTGTAGGCACGTGCCTACAGTTCCTAAAGGAAGCTACGCCACTGTACATTGTAACTAAACAGTTTATTTAATGACTTCTTAATGCTGACACTAAAACGTCATTCAATAATGTGGTCAGTGCATCAGTTTTCATTTACAAAGTGCATGTTTTGTCCTGGTTCTCTTGATAATATTCATTGAAAACAATATTGCCGTTAATAAGTATCACAAATATATATTTTTTTTACAGAATTTATAATGGCTACAACAATAGCGCCTGAAGGAGTACCACCTGAAGTGGTGAATGCTCGAAGGACAGAATCTATTGATGCTCCCCAAATACTAAGTCTTGTGGGAGAATCAACTCATTCCCTTTTCGGCAGAGTAAACATTGTAAATATCATGTAAGTAAATGTGTAAGCTAGCTGAACAGTAAGATAGATTCAAGAATTTAGTAAAGATCAAAATAAAGAAATTAAAGATACTTTTCCTCACAGTACCAACCTTGGGGATATATTTTTAGCATTAAATCTTGATTTACTATAGATATCACTCAATAGAAATGCCTTAAAAATAGAAAATAGGGTGTTTTTTTCTGTTTTACTTGTTGCATGTAGTTTTTTTCATTCCAAGGTTCTCAAATCATTTAATATAGAAAAATAAATAAAAAGCAATCATTCGAAATTAATTATTAAAAAAATTGTTGTTTTAAGAAATCAATGATGGACAATTCTATATTTTAAATTGCACTGACATAATCACAGAATGTTTTAAATTTCAGAGAGAAAGCTGTTCTTGCAGTCACACTCTGCAATGACAAGGATGAGATCTTGGGTCATGCAGCTTTTTTTGACTACCCAAATGTGGCTGATGTAGATCAGGCTGACTGGCAAACATGGCTTAACACTTATTATGATACAACAAAAAGTACTCCTCTCAACAGCTTGTTTTTGCATTACTTTGTTGCTAAGAAGGAGTATGCTCATGGATGTGCCAGAGAAATTGTTCGCACAGCCTTTAATGCTGTACCAGAGGCCCACTTCTTGTACCTGTCAGTGCCTGTAGGATCATATCCAGGTAAGTTTTAAGCAGAAAATATGTTTTAAAAAAGGGGAAAGTAAAAGTATATGCCTTACACATTTTGAGGGCACACTTTCTGGGTGTTGTTTTTGTTTTTTGTTTTGTTTTTGCTCACTGGTAAAAATACACCTTAATACAAAAAACAAATACTGGTCATTTAAATTGCATTTTTTTCATGAAAAACATAAATTATTTCCTCTGTATGTTCAAATACAATACTCCTTAACTTGGCCCATGACATAAGTAAGATAATCTTGTGAATTTATAAAAATAATAAGATAATTGCAAGTCCTAATTGTTTTTTTTATGCAGTTTGTGTTAACCTTGTATGATGCAAAGAATTATAGAAACAGTAGATTTGTTCTACTAACATTTTAAACATTAAATATAAAAATGTAACTATAATGCATGTGAATTGTTAAATGATTAGAAAAATGAACCACTATTTTTGATTTGTGATTTTTCATTAAAATGATGAAATACAAAGATATATAGGGTGGGTTTGTTTAATATATTAAAGAAACAACTTTGGAAGAATGAAACATCATTATTTTATTTTTTTGTTTGCAGTAAATACAAGTGTCATTAATTTTTAAACTTTCCATTCTTTTATTTTTATTTCAGAATCTTATATTGCTGATATCTTCAAGCCATTAACAACAAAGGAAGATAAGTCACCCAGTGCATGTGCTATGTTTTGCTGTAACAGACACGAACATGTTCCCGTGGTACATGTAAGACAAGCTAGGTCAGTTTTTTATACAATCTTTTACATTATCTTGCAGTACATGTTGAAACCATTCATTTTTTACAGATAATTGTTTAACATGTATGAAATGAATCATTTTGTCATTTTAAATGGACGTAATGTCTGCCTACGTTCACAACAATTCTGGATTCTCATTTAATTTGTAAAGTCGCCCCGACATTTTTTGCAAAAATCTTAAGGGATGTTTAGAAAAGCTTTCAAATTTGTTACATAAGCATAGTACACATTTTCTATGATAATGTTCTTTACAAGATTCAACAATAATTTGAAAATGTAAACATTAATTATACAGATCCATAGAAGGTTAATATTTTTGATTGTCTGTTGTCCTCTTTAATATTTTTTTTACTGTGGACTTTTTGTGTGTGCGTTCATGTGCATATGCATTTTGAGATATACTAGTCTTGGAATTTGCACAATTTTCTGTATTTATCAGAGTTGAAGATCACGATGACTTGACACCGATTTTCAATCGCCAGAGTGATATGTTAAAGATGACATATGGGGACTACTTTCTGGCTGAGTTGATAGAAGCACAAGATGAAAACATGCAATGTCTTGTAGCTGAGGTAGGATGTTTTCATGTTATTATATGACCCAGTAAAATAATAAAGATTTCTCTGTGACAATGTATTTACATTTTCTTTCAGCAATCATGACTACTCATATTTGTAACCATGATTTTAGAAATTGTCTTTGTTTAGCTTTTTATGCCATGGCTACTTTAAGTAGGGGTGGGGGATATAAAATTACCCTTGTCCATCTTAGTGGCCTGATATCTTGTTGTCTGTTTGTAGACTTACAAAACAGTGTAATGTGGGGACATCCATGTCATTTGGACATGTTTCTAGTTTCTGCATACCAGACACTTATGACTCTGAGTTATAGTATTTTATTGAAAAACAGTTAAAATCAAAAGCAAAGCAATTCCATGAAAAAAAATAAGGATATTAGAGGTTCAAACACATGTAAAGAAAAGCTTCTATTCCATATGACCGTGTTCACTATTTCCATTAACAATATGTACACAATGATAAAAAAATGTATATAATATCATGTTTTATTGCAAATTGTAATCACATTCATTTTGTAACATAGAAGGATGTTGACAATTTGTACTCTGGTTTTGTAGAAGTCCTTATGATTTTAATGACATAATTATGATTTTAATGACATAATTATGATTTTAATCATATAATTATGATTTTAATGACATAACTTATGATTTTAAGAACATAATTATCATTTCAGGTTGATGGAACAGCCTATGGATTTATGAGTGTTAGCAATGATGTGAATTATGAACTGCTGAATAAATGTTTTGAGCTAGGACCATTCCATGGTCTTAGGGAACCCAATGAGAAGGATGAAACTGAACCACCTAGGACACCAACACCTTCTGTAGCTTCACAAGGTACAGGCATTTGACATTTGAATTTGGGTGTAAATGAAGAGGAGAGGTTAAAGTGTCTGTCTCTATTAAGACTAAGGTGCATTCAGTGCTCTTTTTTGTCAGCCCAAGCAACCAGCAAAATCTTTGACTACTGCAAAATTTGCTTTTGGCTACTTTTGCAAACTTATCATGTTACATGAAAATGTTTTAAAATGAGTCAGGAGTGTTCTGCTGGCTGCTTTTAAAGTCTATGGTGAGCACTGGATGTAGATTTAAGCATTCCAGGATCACTGTCATATTTTGGAAGCAGACTATAGTTAATCATATAAAATTCAAACTTTGTTCGCAGTTGATTTAAATTTTATTTTATTAAAGTTGAAAATGAAGAATATGTTATCCTGTAATGATTCACAAAGTGCACTTAATGATTGGCTATAATGAAATTGTGTACCTCTCATCAAGTTCAGCTGTGATAAATTCATTACCAGCCTGATCTGTCCATGCAACAATAATAGTGTCAACAATTGATGTTTTTTAGATGCTGATTTATTTTATTCTATGCCAGATTATTTTATTTGAAATCTTGAAAAATTTTGTTTACTTTCTCTCACTAAATGCTCATTTCATTATATTCAGCATAGCTGAGTATTAGATTTATGCATTTGAATGCAAGAAGTCATACTAGCTTCATCCTGTTTAACTGCTTGTCTGGATAAAACAACATTTTGACATTCCATCAGTGGAATGACTTTGAAGAATATATTCTTAAACGTTATAACATATTCTGAATTTCAGAAGAGATTCGGTCACAGTCCGGAACTTCAAACAAGTCTGGTAGTTCGGGTAAGGGAGAGAATACAGAAACAGACATGTCAAAGGTGGCAGATTCAGTGAAAGAATCAGTAACCGAGTCTACACAGAAATCTGAAGAAAAACAAGACTCTGGTAATAATGGTAGTAAGCAATCAAGTGGAAGAAGTTCTCGATGTAAGTATCCATTCTTTTGAACATCTTCTCCACCATTATAGTTTTTCATTAATTAATTATTGTAAATTTAGAGGTAAATTTGAATATTAACTTAAGCCTGATATTTAGAGTCATATTTTTAGACAGGGTTATTTTCAAAGATCATGTTTTGACTTAGAATAATCAATTCAGATCGGAAATGTTTTTCATTAGAAGGCCAGTAAAGAATTCAAATGACAAGAACTGTTTTAAAGTGATCTCTTTTTCATCTTAAGCTTCATTTCTTTGAATTTTCTGAAATTATAGCCCATTATAATGGGAAAATTTCCATTGATTTTATAAATTACTTGTCCATTATATTTCAGTATGTATTGTATGTATACTTTTAAAAGGTAAACTTTGCCAATTTAGCTCATTTGTTATCATATATCAATACCTAACAGTGAACAGTGATGCCAGTGATGTCAAGGTTAAACCCAGGCTCAGTGATGCTCATATGGGAGGGAGTCAAACATCTTTTCTTAGCCAGGAAGGGGAAGGAGAGCCAGACATAGCTTCTGGAAAATCTTCTCCAGAAGTAAGCTGATTTCAGTAATTTTTTGTAGATCAATGTTTGATGTTATAAAAGATACTGCTTTTTAGTTGCTTCTTACTCACACTTAACTGTAAGATCTGAGTTTTTTTACGATAAAAAATGAAAAATGTGGAATTAGTTTAACTGGCATGTAAAATTGGACTAGCATGTAAAATTGTTCATTGCTGAATATTGATTACTGCAATGATTAACTTACTTTCCCCTTTGAATAAAGTGAACATTAGTTGGTTGCGAATACCAGTATTCAATGAATTACAGTATTAAAGGTCACAAGGATTTTAAAGTACTAAATTAATTAACTATGCCAAAATTTGAAATGAGACATATCCATTGCACAAATTATGCAGAGTAAGTGTAAATTGTACATCTTTATGACAAACCATCACAGTGCATGTTGCTTTTGTTTGCTTTCAGTTTGATCAAGGCATTGGTTCACCAAAACCTCCAACTACACCACCAAGCTCCAAAAAATTTGTTCCCACTTACTATGGAGAGCCAAAGGCTTTTAGCATACAGCTATTCTGTGTTGATGAGAGATATGAGATGAGGTAGATAAATCTATATTTTAGGTAATAAGAGCAGTGATTAAGTATACCTCTCAAACCAGCAATCATGGGTTCAAACCCTAATTGGGTCACAGTTATTCCTCAGATAACACTGGCACTGAAAGGTTCTGGTGATGATTCAAGTAAACACAATTGAAAGTGATGTAAGTTGCGAGAGCTTGTCTCTAAATCAGGCATAAAAAAGTTTACTTTTAAAGTAGTATAATATATGAGAGTGATAAATTATTGTTTTTATCAGGTTACTAGGTGCTGAATCATTTGAAAGTTATTTTGATACTGCCGCTTGCAAATTTTTTTAGTGGTGTTTTTTTTTCTTTGAGGGATTTTTTTAAAGTTAGATTGATCTTTTCCTTCTTTCTCCTTTTTTCAGATCAGCTGACTTTTTGGCTAAGGCATTTGATAAATTCCCAGAAAGAGATTTCTGTATCATCACAGTGCCACACTTAGTGCCGGAATTTCCGCTGCTACAAAACTTTGTGGTAAGTTTGATTGTTCTATTATTGTTATTTTATTCCCAAATATTGGTGTGAATGACAAACACTTGGTTTACAGATACTTGGTAAAACTATTTAACACAACTTCATTCAAACATCTCGATAATTTTAAATAGTTTGGTAGAAAAGGGGATGAAAAAAAAATAGCTTGGTACTCAAAATGACCAGCATAAGAATATATTTATCAAATGTTATAAAATAATTGATAAATATCATCACTTAGACATTCACCAATATACCTTTGAATTGAAATCTAAACATGCAGAAAGATGTTAAGAATTTGTTGTCACATTTGATTGTTTTCTTTCAGAGAGTTTCACCTAGATGTCCAAGTACACTATCCCAAGAACTTTATGTTTTCCATAGATTTGGTCTACTCAAGTAAGTTGAGATTATGATTACATAGAAAAAAAGTCAGGATGAATTCAAATGAACCTGACTGCTCAGGCAATTCTCAATGCAAAAAACTTAGTGATTTTATTTTCTGTGTAAACAATCCTCATTGACTTGCTCTATTTTATAGTCTTGACCCAGACTTTGATTGATAACATTGATTATTATATATCCAGGGAAGTCTTTCATAAAACTACCAGTATTACAGAAGGATTTGCGAGTTTACTTTACTTATTATACTTTTCTTGAATTTCAGAGACTTTACAGTACGTCCAGCACTCAAGACTGATTTCACTGGTGTGGAGAACTTGACTAAGACCATTGACTTGCACGAAAATCTTCTCAAAGATTTAACACAGTACAACAAAGCAAAGAGAGATGATGTAAGATATATCTCATTGTGAAATGAGATCAAATTTTTTTATAATGAAAACCAATCAAATCATAAAATATTAGCAAGATGGTTTATTAAAAGCAGTCTTCAGCTTTTATTTTCTGTTCAAAAAAAACAATTCTGTGTTTTTTCAAACTAGGTATTTTAGTAATTTTATCTTGGAAAAGTGCATCATATCACTGTTAGCCTAAATCTTTAAAAACTGCGTCTTGAGAGCTATTTATGACATTCATTTCCAAAAATAGAAGATCAGGGAAAAATCATCCACTTTACTAATTTATAAATAGAGAGCGTACCCATCGATAAGAGATATTGAGGGTTTTCCTTGTTGTTTATGTATTTTGTCGCCTGCAAATTTCAATTTCCACCTTAATTCTTTTTATTTGGCAATAATATGAAACGATTTATCTAAAAAAAAACACATATTTAACCTTTAGAAAACCTGAAGACCGCTTTACACTTTTATCTAGCCTTTGATGCTTTTGATTTATATCCCCAAAAATTTACTTTACTGCCTTAAGTGACATCTAATAATTTGAATTATTTATTACATTTGAATTTGACTAGTTCAAAGAGAAGTGTGTCTATCCTATTCACCCTATATGCTTTTTTTACCTCCACATCAGTGAAAAGTTATATGGTGTCATTTCAAACATGACACATGTTGTCTAGGTGGTAATTGTAGATAACATACCAAGATCCATAACTCTAGCTGAGCATATGATGTTTACTGAATAGTTACACTTTGTGCACTTATTTTATCTATGCTCTTGTTTTATTGTCATTAAGGTAGTACACCCCTAATGGGCACTATAAGGAATTGTAAATTTGACAACATAGGACAGTTATATGCTTTAAATGTCACCTGTATGCAAAATTTAAACAAAATTTACCGTGTGGTTTATGAGTTATGGACATTTTTATGAACTGAAACTAGAAGGGATTTTTTCAGAAATGAGGAAACTCTAAATAATCTATAATATCATCATTATGAAAAATGTTTTCCTTTTGCTCATTGTTAAGAAATAAATAATGACATTTAGGTAACAAATTAAACAAGCAAAATGATTGTTTTTAAACGAAATGTTTTTAATATGTATAAAAATGTAACCCTACCCCACCCACTTTTAACACTAATTTGACCATTTATCTATGTAAAAAGCCTTATTTAAAATATCCCTAAAATTTTCCAAAATGAGGGGCTATTTTCAAAGTTTGTCTAAATTTTCTTTAATGTATATTGGTTGGTCTTGCAAACTATAAAATACTTTTACCGTTTAGTTTTTATTTTATTAAACTTTGAAAATATCTGGTATCATATTTCATATTAAATTTGGCATTATTTAGTAAATAAATACCTACAATAATTATATATTAAAATAAAACACTTTTTTCTTCCATAGGAGGTCTGAGAGAATAATAAAAACTGTTAAAAAGAAAAAAAAAGAAAGAAAAAAAATTGCCCCTTCTGGGGTTTGAACCCACACCCCCTCAGTTTCAATACACTTTACAGTGATTTTAGCCTATTTGAATACTTTTCAAAGTGGAGACAGTGCATTAGGGGTGCACTACCTTAATATACCAGAACTCTGTATTATTAACGCAACTCTATTGTCGATTAATTCTCATTACATTTTGTAATGTATGGTCATGCATATGTTGAGGTTAAAATTCTTTGACCTAATTCAAAAAAAAAAATGCAATGTTTACAATAAATTTGTCTGCTTCACACAAAATATAAAATATTATTTAGGTCAAAGCAGATATAGAGGAAACATTAAGCATGTCAATAATACAGGGTCCCAACTATAATTGAGGACACTCCAATTAGACTGTGTCTCATATTATTTTACAGGATGGCACAGAGATTCAAGCTTTTGTTGCAACCAGTCAATCACAGGTGGTTGGTGTAGCTATCATCAGAATAGAAGAGGTAAATTTTGATGTAGTTTTTGTATCTCTTATTTGCTGATAGATTATCATTAAATGGGCATCTTTGGACAAGTGATGAACATCACTAACTTTGAATCACTATCCTATCATTTTAAGGTTTAAATAATGGGCATGCATGAATTTTTGCATTGACATTTATTAGCAGATTATATCATGCGTTTAATTTATATTAGAAATCCTTGTTTAATTCCTAACTATGATTTGACCTAAAATTTAGGTCATTTTTCACAGTTAGAATTATTATTCTGGGTAAACGGTGTGAGCGAACAATATGAAATTTTGCACACAACTAGACCTACATAAAATGGAACTTTAATTTTGGAAAATTATTTTGAGACCTGACATGTCAACATTATTCTCAGTTGAGCCCCTTTAAATGTAGTTAAATGAGGTATCAGACCATGTTTGCAGCATAGGATAATTTTATATTTCAGGACATAGAATATATACGGTCCCACTACAATATTGAGGATTTTATCTACTACAACCATCATAAGAGATCAGAGCATGCCAGAGTTCATCACTTTGCTATAAACCCAATATTTTCACACCTCTCTAAACATTTCCTGAAGGTAAGGTCTAGCAATCCTCTATCTATTATGCTTTATTGTTAGCTCGACTATTAGAAGAATATGAGAGCTATTGTAGTCGCCCCGGCGTCGGTGTCGGCGTCAGCGCCCGCGTCGGCGTCTGCGTTGGTTAAAGTTTTTTGTAAATTCAAATATCTCAATTATTGCTTGAGATATTCAATTGAAACTTACAATACTTATTTATAGTAACAATGTACATCAGATTGACAAGTTGGATAACTCTGCCTACAATATTGACAGAATTATGCCCCTTTTTAACTTAGAAATTTTGGTTAAAGTTTTTTGTAAAGTCAAATATCTCAATTATTGCTTGAGATATTCAATTGAAACTTACAATACTTATTTATAGTAACAATGTACATCAGATTGACAAGTTGGATAACTCTGCCTACAATATTTACAGAATTATGCCCCTTTTTAACTTAGAAATTTTGGTTAAAGTTTTTTTGTAAAGTCAAATATCTCAATTATTGCTTGAGATATTCAATTGAAATTTACAATACTTTTTTATAGTAACAATGTACATCAGTTTGCAAAATTGCATAACTCTGCCTGCAATATTTGCAGAATTATTTGCCCCTTTGAAACTTAGAAATTTTGGTTAAAGGTTAAAGGTCTTCAAAGATATTTACTTGAAACTTTACACATGTACTTAGGGTCATAATTGGAGAGTCATAATTGTATGTCACTGACCAAGTTCCATAACTCTACTCGCATTTAGGCTGATTCATCTCCCCTTTTCTACTTAGTCTCTTGGTTAATGTTTACATGCAAGTTTTACATATCTCAATAACTATTAAAGATATTTATTTAAAACTTTCCTTATGCATTTAGAATCATAATTGTAGGTCATTGACCAAGATCCATAATTCTATCTTGCATTTAGGCTGATTTTTCTCCCCTTTTTCAACTTAGAAATTCATGGTAAAGTTTTGCTTGTAAGCTGTTATCTCCATAACTACTGATGAGTTTATGCCTTTTTTGGGACATTTTTATGCATTCATAATAATAAAGCAGTGATTTACTTGATAAAACATCTTAAAGGGAAAGACAAGGTTAGAATAAAAACTTGATTTCAGAAAAAGAATACTATAAATAATAAATCTGCAAATTTTCTGCCGCCAAATAATAATATTAAACGAATGATAACAAAATTTAAATCGCTAAATCACCGATTTGTACAAATCAGTAGGCGCGGCCATGTTTGTGTATTGGCCGTATAAAAACAGGTGCGCGTGATGTCATTTCCCCACATCTTTAGATTTATGATAAATCTAGTAGAATCGTAGCGAAATATTAATATAATAAAAGTATTGACCAGACAATTTAATTTTCACAGAAGGTGTTGAGGAGATTTTTTTGGTTCAAAATACGTAACAATATCAAAAAAAAAAACATAATAAAAAATAAAGAAACAAATAAAAAATTAACGTCTACCGGTTGCACCACTTCAGGCCAGTGATGCCCGTTACTCTAAACAATGCTTTGTTCATTAAAGTCTCATCTTAATGTAATTAATCAATATTTCACAGATTTAGTAAATACACATGATATTATTTAACAAAGTTTCACAATCAAATAATGCAATTAAATAAACAGACGCACCTACGAATAATTGGCTGTTAGTTATTGAACGGCGATAATTCATCAACGTATGATGCTGCGTGGTATTTATTTACATCGTAATCGTAACCTAATATTAACTGCAGGAAAAACATTTTTATTGGCTGCTCAAACATCTAATTTGCATAATTTATTCACACAATTGCTGGTTCTTACTACTTATGTCTCATACTGTGCATTATCCATTTTAATTGTTCCTAATTTGCACCAAATGTTTCTGTCACACTGTGTAATGACGATTTTTATTGCTCCTTGTATGCTTCTGTGCCGACAGACCTTTTGATCATGCACAATGTTGCCCTGATTGGTTAATCACCCTTGTCAAATATTCTAATGACGAAATAGACATCTATGTTTTTACGCTTCATCAGTGAAATAAATTAATGACCTAAGGGGAAATTAAGTTCCACACCTGTCAAATTATACTGTAAATAACAGCATTTCATAAAATAGCAACACTTTTTTTTTCAGTTACCAATAATCATTTTAAATATTAAGTAGATTTATGATTTATTTTTGTTTTATTGGATTAAATTTACGGAAGTAGAAATGCGTATCTGTGTGGGAAAGGGATTGGGTAAGTAGATAACCTGGAAAAAAGCTATAGGGAATTGGATAAACCCGAGAATATGCGTAATTACAGGGGAATGGGCAACCTGTTGCTGTTGGTACCAGTTATGACTGGGTTCCTAAATAACCTAACAGACAGTTTTGTTTTCATACGATACTAGTCTGGCTGCCAGTTTTCCTGCGCCATTCTCATTTTTAGCATCAATGGCGGAAAATCGCGTCCTCAGCAGACCTCTGCATATTGGATTTAGTTGATATTTTACGCTGAAAAAAAGAAACATGACCGGCGATGTGCCCTATTCGGACAGCTTGTCTAGTGAAAATTAAGTACATTATAAAAGGATATATCGTCAATTTGAAGGAGTTTCTCATAGTACCCAAATTAAATTGATGGTTTATCTTTGAAAATTAAGCAATCATTGCTTAAATCATGTGGTGGGATCATCAGCAAGCTTGAAAATCGGACAAATGGTAATTAATGTCGCGGCGTCTTCAATTAATTAATTCAAGCAATTCAGTTCCATATGATGTTTTCATAAATAATATATAATGTACGCAATAAGATAAATAAGTTCTTCATCAAGATATATTTCAGTTGTACCAGCGTGTACACCTATACCGGAAGTGGGTGTAACACGTCACAATCTCGGTCTCGTCTGTCTCGCGAGAGTGACAGAACGCCAAAATGGCGGCGCCCATGTACATATTTCTCAAGTAAAAAATAGTGTCTTAAAACACGAATTTCTCACTTATAGGGTTGATGTCAACAGAAGAATTGTCATGGTACCTCTTTTTAAATGATGAATATTTATATTAGACAGACATCAATCCATCCATTCCTATTCCTTTAATAACAAGCCTTTGTACCTTTTCGGTCAATTTTATGTATTCATAGGTAAATAGCATTATTATTCTCAATAAAACACCCTTGTGACAATTTTTGAATAGTTGAGCCAATACTGTCCTCCGACAGTTCTTGTTAGATTCTGGCCTTTTAGTAATAAAAAGAGCATCGAAACACAAGGCTTTCTGATTTGTACGAGGAGGCGTATCTCCTGAGTATAAATCAAATTGCATGCCAAGTGTTTTGATGCTCTTTCTCTTTTGTATCATAGGCAAACGTAAAAACATGTTCCCTGTTGTAGCAATATGAAACCCCAGAAAAAAGTAATCAATGAATGTGCATCAGAATATGAAATTTTTATCGCTATCCCCTTCACATTAAGTAAACCCCAGAAAAAAGGACCCAATCAATTAACATGCTCTGCAGTGCGGGTAACTTATACCTGCACTCCAGTTAAGCCACTGTGTTTGTATGTGTATACGATTTAACTATGACTCATCTTCAACATAAAGGACCCCAAACTATGATACAAGATGTACTTAGACAAGCATAACAGTTGTATCTTCTGTTGTTTGCAAAATGGTTATTTTGAATTATTGGAAAGTTTAAATATTATACAGTGTAATGTCAGTAAACCAAAAAATCCTCATCACTTGATTTATTAATTACAATACCTGTATATTCATAGCAAATACACTGAAATTTTGCTTACACATGTTAAAATTCTGTTGATCATTATACTTTCACTTAATCATATTTTGAATATAATAATCATCAAACAGTTGCCAAATGAATATTTTATTATCGTTTTCATTTTCTTGATTTTAGGAAGTTCTACGTATTGGACATAAGACATGTTTATATTATCCCTTGTTCCCATCATACACAGAAAAACAGGTTTGTTTTTAGTTATCTTAAAATCTTTTGTTTTCTCACATGTTATCTTACTATACAATCTATTAGGCCTCCATAGCTGAGGGGCGAAGTTGGCTGACTTCAATTAACTTGCCCTTCACTGCCATGTGTAAAAATCTCATCATGAATTTTGATTTCTAATATGTTAGACATCAAGGTGGTCTTAGACTTACAGAAGGTTATTTGTTGTACTCAGGTGCCTGATGTTTTAAGTCTAAAATAATAATCAGAGGGGCACTTGAGGTTTTCTTCCACCATTGAAGCAGAAAAACTTGCAATATAACCTTCACAGATAAAAAGTAATGTTGTCTATTTCTTGCATAAAAATGTATTTAAAACAGATCAATTGCTGAAACATGGTTAAAGAAAATATGAAATGAAATTATTTTGATCATTATCTTTATAGACTAGTGTACTGACATAGAAAATGTTAAGACACATAAATGAGCCGCGTCATGACAAAACCAACATAGTGCGTTTGCGACCAGCATGGATCCAGACCAGCCTGCGCATCCGCGCAGTCTGATCAGGATCCATGCTGTTCACTTACAAACACTATAACATGTACAGAAACTGATAGTGAACAGCATGGATCCTGATCAGACTGCGCGGATGCGCAGGCTGGTCTGGATCCATGCTGGTCGCAAACCCATTATGTTGGTTTTGTCGTGACGCGGCCCAAATACATTTTCATAATTATTGTTTGATACAGGTTGTTAAGAACTACTCTTTGATTAGCTGCCTGAAAGAAATGGTTCCTGTTAGACATAGAAGACAGATCATTTATCCCACAGAGAACCTAGGTATCAATGCTCCATCAGATAGAGTCCTTGCAGAAAGAGAGCCATATGCTCTCTACCATATCAACAGAAAACTTACTCTCGAACCTAAGGTAAAGTCTACTGTATTGTAATTTTGTTTTTGCTTAAATTTCTTTTATCAAGAAAAAACAGTAGATGTGTTAAGACATAGAAATTTAAAGTGAAAGTTTAGATTTTAAGTGAAGCTGTGGCTAAGTGGTTGCAGTGTCTGCCTCTCCACACAGGGATTGATTCAAGCTTTACTTGGGACATGACCATGTTTCATCATACAACATCTAGCACTTGGTTAGTTATTCTGGTGAACTTGAAAATACGAAGTACTACTGGTCTGTATTCACCAACTTGTGAACATCTCTTCAATTTAATGCCAGTGCTTATGATATGCTGATGCAATTTTATTTTTCTACCTTAAAGGCCCATAAAGCCTCAATAATGATAGTATGACATTTTGATATTAAATATGATATTCTATGAGTAAATCATGTTGACGATTAGACTTAGTCATCATTTTAATATTTTTTTAAATAACCTCATGATGAACAAAAAAAAAATCTTGTTTTAGAACTTGATTTTTGTAATTACTCAATTTCATTTAAAATAATCATTTCAAGAAATATTGATTATTTGAAAAACAGTATGCTTCATTTAATCATTGACATCATTTTATACAGGTAACAATAAATGCTCGGATAGTTGTGGTAGGTGCATCAGATGTAGGAATAGGATTTCTTGAAGCGCTTGCATACTGGTAATTTACATGTATTAACATTGCAGTTTTACTGATACAACAATTTTCAAATCTTTAAAACTAATGCTTTGCAAAACAGACTTGCATTTTACCTAAAATGGATCTTTGCAACCCAAGATTTATTTAACATTTTTTGTTTGAGTTCACATGTGTAGGAATATGTTCACAATGACAGATAGGCCTGAGTGATTAACTACAAATCATTTGAGCAATAAATCGTGCATTGCTATACTACAATGCAGGAAAAATTATTATCTCCATATATTATTATATCTATATTATTTCCATTCAAACATGCAAATAAAAAAGAGAATTTATTTAAATATGTTGAACTACATTAAGCATAGAAGTAATTTTCCTGATGTCATTTAGTTTATTGACCTCATATGGTGTGTATGCATTCGTTTTTTATGCTATGCATATATTGTGTAATAATGCACTTGATTGCTCTATCTGTTGATAGGGGAATATTGTGAAGCCTGTAAGAATGATATTTTGATAAACAAATTAAATGTTTTTTAATTGTAGCCCACATTTACATTTTAACAATTTGACAATTGTATCACCACATGGTTTGCCTGGTGATATGCCAAAAGACGAACAGCGAGATTTAATGTTGTCAACCAGTCATTGTTATACTCATGAGGAATATGCCAAGATAGCACTTCAGGCCTCTGTCAATGTTGTTTATGGAACAATGACGTCCATCGATCGAAAAAAGAAGTTTGTGAGAGTGAGCGGGAACACATCGGTTCCGTATCATCATCTGATTTTGTGTACCGGAGAGCAATACCAGGTGCCGATGCCTACAGGTGCCGATGTTCAAAGTGGTGTTACAAACGCTAACTTACCAAACAGTCCTGATCGCAGAAACATGGGAGTTAAACCAAAGAATCTTTTCTTAGTAAATGATACATATGATGCAGCTGTGTGTCTGTACTGGATTGAGAATAGACTCGCCAAAAATCAGAGTAAGTTAGGGCCATGTTTTATGTTATTTCTTTCTTTGACAAATTTCCTGTCAATTTTCACTCATTAAGAAAAAAAATTTAATTGCAGACTCAAACCTATGCAAAAAGGGGGTTAGCCATATTTTATGCCGAAAAACTTTAAAAAATTTAAAAGAAAATCATATTTCCTTTTTGGTGTTCATTTTTAAGATATAATATTTTTAATAATATTTTGTAAAAAAAAATTATTTTAGGGTTATAATTACTTTAATTGTTTGATTTTGTTTTTAATGACACCAAAAAAAGTTCCCCTTAAATCAACTTTAAAAACAAAATTGTAGTGAAATTTTATTTCAGTTTTCCAAACCCCTGACAAAGGGTGACTACCCAAACTGATTTAAAACTGGGAATTATTAATTAAAAAATTACTACAAAATACCTTAAAGAATGGGTTATTCATTGTTCAAAATGTAATACTATATAGCTAAAACTTTTTTTTTTGTTGAATTTCTTTAATTATAATTTCCTGGGTTTGTTCTAAACTTTTTTGGTCTCCTATGTAAAATTAACACAAATAAAAGGAAATTAAAAAACAATCTCCTTTTAATTTTAACAACATGTTTTTAATGATCGTATAGTAGAGGAAACCCATGTTTAAGGCATGCCCCGGAGGTGGGTACAGTTTTATTTGGGATAGTTCTTTTCAGTGGAATAAAGGCGAGGCTGTGCGGAGATTAAATCTGCCAGCTTTACTTCTAATGATGAACCACTTACATTGGATTGTGGGGTTTGTATATCTGTTTTTTTAGATATTTCTTGAGCATAAAATTTACTTAGGGTCCTGAGAGATGTTAAACAATCATTGCTTGTCATGACTCAAATTTAAGTCTGTGATTTTTTAAAATTTATTTTGTGTTTTGTGACTTGATTTTATCGAGTCAAATTTTCACTTACTAATTTTTTTGTCTTATTACTTAATTAAGCTGAGTTTTACATATTAAATGTGTTGTTCAAATATAATTTTGTTCTTTTATGGACTTCAATATTCATCCCCAAACAAGATTATGTATGTGAATTTTGCATGAGTTATTTCATATATGTCTTGAAGATGAAATTATAAAGTCATTTTTTATTTAATATTTTACCATGTTTACAATGGAAAAAAAATATTTGAAGAGTGAATTCTTCCAGTTGTTAGGACACAATTCTCATTATCATACAAAGTTACTAAGTAATATATTTAAGAAATTATGTTAAGAAGTGAATAGAATACATGTTCGCAAAGTTGCTTAAAATGTGATGTTTGTGTTTTAAAGTTAATGTGTTTAATTCTAATTTATAGGCATTTTTCTCCTACTACAAGAAGAGTGTCAACTTTGAGGCATTCAAAGGTATGTATTTCTTAAAGTCCTTTTGGAGAGAAAATGGATATATTGCTATGTTATGTTGGTCAAATGGGCATATCATTTTGCTCTTTATTAATTTGCCTATCCTTCAATCATAAGACCGCACAATAGGTGAAGAATCATGATCATAATGACCCTCGGATATTCAATATGGTGTGTGCTGTAAAAAAGAGGGGAAAAACTATTGACTTCAGTTAAAACTTGTCATCATAATATTATATTGTTCTTTAATCTTGAAAAAGTTGAGCCAATAGGCAAGGCTGCTCTTTTTTTTTTCAACAGCTGCCAGTCCTCATTGGGTAACTACCAATTTTTCACAGTTGACCCTAATTGTTTCATAAAGCAGCTTGAATAAGATGTATAAACTTCTATCACTTATTTAGCTATTTTACAAATATGACCATATTGAATTAGTTGTACTGGATTTAAAATATTAAAATTGAAAAAAAAACATGATATACTGTATAATAAAAACAATTCTCTTTTTTTTTGGCTCTATGATACATATAAATATGTATTTTCAATGACTCATTCATTTGGGTTTTAATATTTATAATACAACACATACTATTTATGTATATATTCAGCTATAAATGATGCATGCCTGGTGTATGATGGTAAACTAGTGATTGATGCCTATTTCCACACAAATGATGTATCAATCAGAGGTGCTGGACCACTCACTAAATTCCAGAGGAAATATCAGGCAGACAAATGGTCACATGCTTGTTTCAACTCAAAAGAAGTTGGAATACATGTAAGCAATAGAATAGAGTTTCCTATTTAAAAAAAAAACTATTTTGTTGATGCTTTTTTAGCTCGACTATTCAAAAGGATAGCTATTGTACTCACCACAGTGTCAGAATCACGCTTTGGTTAAGTTTATACCTGCAAGTTGGTATCTCCAAAACTACTGAAGTGAATGGACTGTTCTCTGTGATGATCAAACATAATGAGCATGGTCTGAGTTATGCCCTTTTTCTTACTGTCAAGCACTGGGAATAGTCGTATGGAAAGTTTTTTTTTTTTGTTTTTTTTTATAAATTTATAAATGTCTGCAAAAACAATCCAATGATTATGAAATATAATAGAAATAAGGGTTATTCAGATATATGCTTTGAAAATTGTAGTTTTAAATGGGATATCTAATGTGCTCTAACTAGAAATAGTAATTTAATTGGAACAAAATCGGCGGCTATACAGGTTTTACACTTTGCTTTTTGAATGAGAAATCAATGTTAATTTAGCAATTAAGAATTGATTTAGATGTTCATCTTATAAAAGATCCATGGCATTATTTTTTGTCTCAAACTTAATGTGCCATAAACTTTGAAGGTTTCTTTAATTTGAAGGTTAAAACTTATTTTATATAGTTATATAACAATATAACAGAATCAGGGATCATAGGTTATTTGTATGACATTGCTTTATTTGTAGTTGGCAACAGAGATGTTACGTTTATTTGATCCTACATTAGAACAGCAAGGATCTCCACAAGAGGAGGAGCTAAACCTTATACCCATCTACAGGAACCCTAAAATACAGGGAGCTTTTCTTCCAGGTACTGTAATATCATATAAAACTAATCATGCGAAATTTGAATGATGCCCGGGCTTGTCCTGCTTTGAATATTGGACTATCCATCTTTCATATGAGGGACATTGATAATGATAATAAAAGTTTATTAACATAGGCCTTTGACCCAAAATGCAACACAATACAACAAGCATGAAAATTCAATGAAAATACAATGGAATCAAAATATGTCAATTAAAAAGACAACTGTCTGTTTATACTGCATGGATGTTCTGTTTGGCTTTGTTCTATAGTAAATTGGTGGGATAGGAAAGTAGAACTGAGAGGATAAATGCCCGTGTTGCCCTTGTTTTATGGTCAATTTGTAACCGACACTCATAAAGTGTCAATAAATTTTCTGTCAGAGAAAATAGGGAAGAGAAACACAACTTTTTTTATAGAAATTCTAATATAACTAAGTTTTATTTGGATATACAATATATGCTGTATAAAATGGTACATCATTTTTCGTATAGACTTAATGACATAAAAATAGGGAAGAGAAACACAACTTTTTTTATAGAAATTCTAATATAACTAAGTTTTATTTGGATATACAATATATGCTGTATAAAATGGTACATCATTTTTCGTATAGACTTAATGACATGTTTCAACATTTTCAGGAAATTTCAATTATCTACATGTTAAGAAGCCAGGGCTTGATAAGCCACTGACGGAACAAATGGGTCAATCTGATTACGTAAGATTTCTTTTAATATTGATAAGTGATATTCCATTTCAACTTTTTTGCTATAAACAGCTTTAATAAGTTTTCTAATGAAAATGAAGTAATATTTAAGGGATGACAAATCTCCATCCAAAAAGTTTTGTCTGTATAGTACAGTGTATATTATATGTTGCTCAAATTAAGAGTCATGAATGTGTATTGACTTTAATATTCATCCTCCTTTGATAATACAAAATGTTTCAAATATGTAATTATTTAATTCAAAATGTAACATACATGTATAACAACTCAAGTGTGAAATGTATTCATGAATATAAATAATTATTGTAATTTTGTCAAGAATTTTTTGACACTTAAAGTAGTTAGTATCAACAGAAAATAATTAACGAAAAGTTTACATGTACATTTACACTTATTATAAGTACTAACATAAAATAATTTGTGGAAAGTTTACATAATCAACTCAAGAGATGCAACAGCACACCTATGTAATATATTCCCGATAATTAATATATTTTAATTTGCAATATTTGAGTGAGACACCGTTGTAATTACAGGGGAAAGAATTGGTTACTGGAAGTGCTGGCGGTGAAACTGAATATTTTAGACTTCATATCAACCAGTACAATAATGTGGAAACAATCACATGTCTTGCGAAAAAGGTAAGTCTACTGCTATTTAATAACTAAACCCTGAACATGCTGAATATTTTAAATGGACTTGTCCCACTTCCAATTTTGGGACTGTCCATTATCAATTTTATGGATATCAATGTGAATATTTAAAGTTTGTCAGCCAACAATATTGAGCCTGGTCAGACTACACGGATGTGCAGGCTGACCTGGCTCTATACTGGTGGCAAAGGCTTAACACCTTTGGTTCCAGCACTTTAAGTGTATCAGAGTGGGTAAGGTTGTTGACTTCAAACCACCTGTCTCTCACCACTGTAGGTTCAAGTCACATCTCAGTGTCTTCGTATTCTTCATGTGAGAAAGCTAACCAGCCAGCATGCAGAGCATCAGTTGTTCTATTTAGGTACCTGTTTGCGCTGAAACAGAGGGGTACCTGAGGTTTTCCTCTACCAATAAAGCTGGAAAGTCACCATATGACCTCTACTGTGCTGGTGCAACATTAAACATACCCATTAAAAAAAATGTGTATGTACATGGTGCATTAAGCAGAAGCAAAAATCACAATATTCTGCCCATATCCTTACAGAGTATGTTTGCAAACTTTGATTTATTTTTAGCTCCATTATTCGAAGAATAGGGAAAGCTGTTGTACTCACCCTGGTGTCGGCATCATACTTTGGTTAAGTTCTTGCCTGCAAGTTGATACCTCCAAAAGTAGAGAAATTAATGGGTTGAAACTTCACACACTTATTTGAGTGTATAATAGGAGGTTACTATTTTAATAGAATAATGGCACTTTTTGAACTTAAAAAATTCTACATTATCCAAGCTCTTGTTTTACTATCAAGCACATAGAATATTCGAGCATATTGTCCTAGTGACAGCTCTTGTATGTAATGTACTTAAATTGTATGTATTTTGAATTACAGACATTACCTAGCAGTAATCTGATGACACTGTATGGTTTACATGAGAGATGTATGAACAACCTAGTGTCCAGGTTTAATGAAGGACTCGTACAGGATTTCTACAAGTAAGACCCTGATAGCAATATATTTCTGTAATTGGAGAAATGTAATATTTTCGTATGTGGATATTGTATGATGGATATGTAATATTTTCATATATGGATATTGTATGTTGGGATATTTGATAGGTTTACAGGGATTACCCCACCTTTCTGTTCACTCCCCAGATGTCTGAAAGCTATATTTTTGGAGTACTACCCCTTTTTAACTTAAATTCATTCGCCATTGATAGTATTGATTGAAAGCTCAACCTTTTCAATTCTGGAACCACACGGGAAAGCATTCGTCATTCTGTTTGTATTTCTGAGCAGCCTGACCAAGCTTTATCCATTAGTTGCATAGTTGCTTAGTATTTTGATATTAATACCCCTGTAATTACTAATGAACAGTTCTTGCTTTAAGGCAGCAATGAATTTTAGGGTCATACTGTAAGCAAATGTAAACACAATAGTTATTCATACTAAATAATGTAATTTATTTTACAGGTATTTCTCAGAGACATGGGCTTTGGCATTGTACCATGATAGATTTGCTGATTTCAGAGAAGAAGTTAGGGAACTGCTGATCACAAGACCTGTAAGATATTTATCATATCCCACTGCTCTGTTTAAACATGTTGTTGCTGTTTTCTGATTTCATTAGTTTGGGAAAAAAATTTGAAAGATCCCTTAATTAAATCCAAGTGAAAATGATTATTTTATATGCACAAGTGTACTATAGTTATTTGTGGCCCAAGATTATTCATTTTATAGATGTAAATTATATTGCATGTTTTTTTATTTTTATTATACAGAATGAGGGAGCAGAATCATTAGAAGAAAAAGTCAGAAATCTTGTTGACCCAGAATTGCCAGTAAGTTTTGTTTTCTTTATTTTGAAAGTACTTAACTATTTAACAAACAGTACATGCACAGTGGGTGAAATTTTCCAAATTATTCCTGAATTCAGTATTTTCAGGTTTCTTTTTCTATCTAAAACTATGAACAAAAAAATCACTTAATTCAAGATTTTGAATGCATGTTCTTCCAACTTGCACCGATCATTACATGCTTAATATAAAAGTTATTACAAAGCCATAAAGTCCATCAATTTAAAGCTTAGACAACATTCAGAACATTATAAATGAATTACTTCACCGATTACAAGAATACATGTATGCGGCACATCAAATAGACTTACTTCTTAATTGTGAATATTTTGAGTTTTTCCCAGCTAATCTGGGGATACAAACAAACTTTTTACAGCTTCGAAAATAAGCGCAACATGTCAAGTAATCTATTGTGAAAAGTAGTCCTCTGTGAAGCTTTAACGATAAGTTTGTTTGTACCAGGGGATCTAAGCTTGGAAAAACCCACATTTGGCATTGAAAATATTTTTGGGGTTTTCCAGCTTACATAGGGGTACAAACACTTTTGAAATAAAGTGGCAGGCATTTGGTGTATTGAACGTAGTCGCCCTCCGTTTAAAAAAGATAAAATGTTTTGTGACTTTCAAAAGGCGGATCTAGCTTGGCCACGCATACCAACTCAAGATAATGCTTATTTCATTTTACACTTTAAATTCTATTTCACTTTCTACAGATTATATTCAGTAGCAAGAAATGAACAATTTATATATCAAACTTACGCAATGTATTTTCTTGTCATTCATATTTTGTTTTTTTGCCGTTACAGTTATCTGATGGTCAAAGGGATGAACTTAAAGAGTTGTTCAAGACGACTGGAGCTAAAGGTGCAGTGGAGGCTAGACTATTGAACTTCCTATCTTACAACTATTATCATTTACCTATGTATGCCAAGCCTGGCATGGTCTAAATTATAAACATCGACGAGTCCTTTGTGTGCTAGACATTGATGAAAACATGAGAGTAAATTATACTTTATGTGTGCTAGAGCCTTGAAGTTATCATCATTGACAAGAATTAGAGTGTACAAATATATCTGCCCTTTGTGTCCTAAAATTAAATTCAACATTGGGGTAATGAGACTCTGATTTAAATTTCCCTTAACATAAAAGCAATATGGATATTTGTAATTTGGCCCTCCAACTTACTGAAAAGTGTTCTTAATTTAATGGTAAACCAATAAAAAGGAAAATAAAAGACCCTTTTATTTGTTTGTTTTTACAGAAAAATGAAAAAAAAGTTTGGGGGGGGGGTAAAATTTTATTGTTGTATTGTTATTCGGGTTTTATGCAAATTCTACTATTTTTAAATTTTTTGCCTATAAAAAATAAAATAAATTTTGGAAAAATGCGATTTTTCTGCTGAGAATGTGATACTGTTTTTTTATAATTATGGTTAAATTTAAAAATATGTTTGGGCTTATTAATCCTGGATTTCTGTTTCAGAGGGTCGGTTTAGTTTTTTTACATTTTTTGTCCATCTGGAAACTGTTTTGGGAATATTGTGATAAAACTTTACAAACTGTGATATCTTTATACAAAACATTGATATATTTATTAGGGGGTATAGTTTCCTCTGGATTCATTATAAAGTCCCCAAATTCTGGTCCTTTATGTAAATCTTTTACTATGTTAAAGTATATATTATTAAATCTCGATATGTATCAAGTGTTCTGTTTGTAAACATTCACAATTTGATATCAACTAGAGGTATATGAACATATCTTTTCTATATGGAACAATTTATTGAGTATTTAAATATTGTTGTCACTTTGTATTGTTCCAATAAATCTAAATACTGTTTAAATCATTGTTTCTTTTGCTTTCGAAATGTAGCAACATAGTCATATTGGTTTAATTTACTGTAACTACTTTGTTTTGTCAATATTCCAAATTCAAGTTCTACCATTTAAAATGTTAAAGGAACTCCACTGAGGTCCAAAAGCCTAAAAATATGAAATTAGAATTTCTTACATAGATCAGCTGGGGCGAAATGAATTGAAAATTGTAAATTTGTGCTATTTTTGCCCGATTTGAGTGAAAAGTGTTGAAACCTTTTAAAAATTTTGAAAATTTTATTTTTTAATATCATTCGGGAAAAAAGTGAGTAAATGTTAAAAATTTTGAAACAAGTTTTTGCTAGACCTTAAAATGGAAAGTGGGGGCGTGGTGGGTGGTTAACAGTGGGGAATAGTAATCCAAGGGATTGCTGACAGGGGGTTCAGACCGTCGGGGAAGCGTTGTTTCCCCTTTAGCAAGAAATTTAACTTCATTGCTACATAGGTTGGGTTTCCCGGAACGGATTCGAGAGTCAATAAGCTTATAGCTTCCAACACAATCAAACTAAAATAAATTTGTATAAACCAAATGGAACATTAACATAGCAACTATTTCAAGTCCAATCATGTGGAAAAAAACTTCAGTGGAGTCCCTTTAAATCAACTTGAGTGTTAGATGGTGGTGAAGACAAAAAGAAACCACAACAACAAATAAATAACAATGTTAGCATATAATTCATTGATACAAACAATTTTATATACATGCATATTATTTCTTGAAATGAAGCACAAATAATGTTGATTTAAGAGATAAGAAGAGATAAATAAACATACATATTGCATGTTAAAAGTTTCGCTCAACAATATCATTATGGTCATTGTGCATAAGACATGTAAGGGGTATGGACATAACATTAACATATTAAGAAAAAAAGGGGTTCGTAATAAATAGACAAAGAAATTACAAATATGAAATTTTGATAAATATTTCCTTCCATAACAGTTAAAAACCATTTCAATTACTTAAGGTAATAAGAATGGGCTCTATTGATCAAATATTTTAAGCAGAATATAGGGCACTGCAGGTGCGAATCTCCATGAAGAGATGCCTTCGGGCTTTTTTTCTCTTTTTGCAGTATTGAAAAATGAATAATACTTTTCAGTAACAGTTAATCCCCTCTTTAACACTTTTTTTTTTGTAAAATGATCAACATGAATACATAGTTTGACTGCTATCATGATGGCACTAAATTGTGGCACCTGTACAGAAATGAGATAATATTTCCAAAGTCCAACAAGGGTTATGTCAATCGTACCCTGAAAGTCATGTGGCTTTACATAGAGCCCTAATAAGACAGTACAACAGTTTATTATTCTTTCTAATAGCGAATATTCATTGTCATAAAAATTTATAAATACATAACATAATTCAATCATTGTAACATAATGAATCACATGTGCGTGTGATCAAAAAACAAAACTTCATTTTAGAAAAACATTCAGAGTTCTCTAAATTTAAATGAAACATGGTCATATATTCTAAATATAAAATCACAGATACTTTGTGACCTATTGACCAACTTTTTGGCCCAAATTAATGCATCTACATCATGTTCCATAAGAAAATCCATCCCAGATCAACTTTAAATAAATGTTACAGACCATAACAAGAGCGTTCAAAGCTTATATTGTGCTGGGTTTATTAAACCCTCAATATGAAAAAATAAGATTTTAATTCAATAAACAAGGTAACATTGATAAGAGATAGAATATAAGTCATGCAACAATAAGGTGGTACTATAGTACATGATTTCAATTTCAAAATTACTATTCTGGCTAAAGTAAAAAGTTCATAGGAATAAAGAAAGATAACTAACAATAATTCCAAGTTGAACCCTTGAAAAGAATAATATCCTATTCAGTTATAAGACCCTAGAAACATACAAAAGCCTTTAATGAGACTTTTTGTTGTATTTTGCCTATATTAACTTTCAATATATATAACACTTATTGATGTGTATGGAATGGTACGAGTTTTATCATGTTTCATCTAATTCTCATATTTCCGAACACAAAAACTAAATTTTGTACATGATAAAGATATGCTAAAAAAACTGACTTTCTTGTTTAAATTGATATACAAGTAAGCTGGTTGCCCCAATTAAGCTGGTTGCCCAACACTAAAACAGTGATGGTTGCAGACCACTAAAAATACTGTTATTACAATGAACAATCGCTAATTAATATACAAACTGTATTGATTCTTGCACTTAAAATAAGTCTTTGTTCATCATAGGCGTCATTTCAATATTAAATTGTTCAATATCTTTAAAAAGAAATAACAGATAATATATTGTAAAACTTCTTATTTAAGTGGTCCCAACAATTTTTCAAGAACGTTTTTGCCTTTTTCTTGGTACTCGGCCCGCGACATCCAGAAATCTGCTTTGTCTTTCATAATATCAGCCAACACAGCACCTCCAAGGAACACCATATGCTTTCTCCTAGGTGGATCTTCAATACGAATTTTAAATTTCTGTAAGAAAGAGAGACAGCTTGTAAGATGAATAGTAAGTTAATTTCTGGAAATTGTTTAGTCAACTCTTCATCTCAAGCCACATCAATGCAATTAAGGCCAAACTGTGACCATTTAAGCTCTACCAGTTCATGAATCGAGGCCTGAATACATGCTGATGAAAATGGTCATTTTCTGGACTAAAGAAAATATAAGACATATTTATGAATGTTCACTAGCCCTATTGCTTGTGAGAAGTTGAAAAACTTTGTAGGACATCTAAAGATAAAAGCAACTTACACTCAATGCTTCTGTATTTCCTTTGAGAACTCTCTCTAGATATAATTGTTTCAACTCTCTCTCCAGGCGACTTGGCAATCCTGGGTACATTGTCGAACCACCTGACAACACTATATGCTTATAAAATTCTGGTCTCGTGTCAATATCTGCAGCTTGGATGGCTTTGAATAACATTTCCGCTACTCCGTCACCTTCTACGTTTATGAGATGGGGTTGAAATAAGGCCTCAGGAGCTTCGAAGCGCTCCCCACCCACCTTTATCACTCTACCATCTGGTAACTAGAAGTGATTAAACAAAACAATTATCATTTATTATTTTCATACAGCAGTAAAATTGGGAATACATATTTTTTTAATTTGCACAAAAAAGCAATCATGATGACTCTGTATCAATCCGAAGCACATTGTAAAAGGACTTTTTTTAAAAACTTTTTCTACAAAAGGAAAATACATCTACATTTTTTGATATTGTATTAAACTCGCATAAAGCTTAGGATGACGAAATTTTTATAAAATTTTCAAAAATAACCATAATCATCTTGTTTACAAAAGAATCAAAATAATTCAAGGCCAATTTAAAATCTAGCAACAGACAAAAACAACAAGAGGATCATGAATCTTATTATCACATACACTTATGACTGTCATTGAATATCGAAATATCTATATATCATCGATATCCATAAAATATCAATACAAGCTAAATTTTTTTACTTCTGTTAGTGAATATACCTCTCTATTTTGCCTATTATGAGAAGTCACTTTTTTCAAGTTTTCTTGGCTAACTTAAACTTTAAACTCCGTTTTTAAAATTTTATGTCAGTGAAAAACAAACTTTCTGTTAAAAAATCTTTCTGTCAGTTTGTACTATTTGTAATGTCTAATACAAGCATGCACAACACCATGACCCAAACTTATAACACATATTTAAATGGTTTTCATTGTATCTGCTGTCAAAGTTGATATATTGTCTCAGTGATTAATCTAGATGTGCGTCTTGCGTAAAATACACATTAAAGTCGAAAAAGACGCACAGTTTCAAAATATGTGCGTTCAATTTGACGCATGCAAATCAGGTGGTTTATAATCCAAAATATCACGATTAGTGATTTCTATGTACTGTTTGATTACTTTAATTTCATCAGTTGAATAATTTTTCAATTTCTTCAGTTGAATAATTTAATTTCCGATGATTACTTGTGCAAGACTTATCCCCCATCAATCGGAACACCTCGGGCGACTTCACTTGACGGAGATTGCCGAGTTGTTACGATTGATCCCCCATTTGCTTGAAACGTTAAATCCCTGTGATCAGTAACCGCCCATTATCGGCATTAGCCAATCAGAGCGTCCATTTTGCATGAGAGCGAATCGCCTACAATGGTGAAATGTGCAGAGATCTGCCTGCGCCATTGGCGCTAAAAATTAGAATGGCACAGGAAAATCGTCAGCAAAGGGCCAAGGGTGCATCTAAAATCTGTACCAAACTTATATTGTATGTTAATAAGTCATCCAGACAAAACTGGTACCAACAGCAACAGGTTACCCATTCCCCTGTAATAACGCATATTCTTGAGTTTATCCATTTCCCTATAGCGTTTTTCCAAGTTATCTACTTACCTTATCCCTTTCCCACACAGATAAGCATTTCTTCTACCGTAAATTTAATCCAATAAAGCAAACAAAAAATCATTAATCTACTTAATATTTTAAATAAATATCGGTAACTGAAAAAAAAGTGTTGCTATTTTAAGAAATGCTGTAAGTTACAGTAGATTCTATAATATGACAGATCTGTGTAAATTGAATTCCCCTAAGTTCACTCAAGTTCACGCGGAGTGTAAAAAAAAGATGTCTATTACGTCATCAGAATATTTGACAGGGTGATTAACCAATCAGGGAAACTTTGTGCATGACTTTTTTTCATGATCAAAAGGTCCGTCTGTGTATGCTTTCTACACAGAGGCATACAAGGAGAAATAAAAGTCGTCAGTATGTATACAGTGTGATGGGGACATTTTGTGCAAATTACGAACAATTAAAATGGATAATGCACAGTATTAGACATAAGTAGTAAGAAAATAAATTATGCAAATTAGATTTTTGAGCAGCCAATAAAAATTGTTTTGCCTGCAATTAAGATTAGTACCAAAAAAAAACAACTTTTTTATACGCTTTAATTATTTAATCGCTTGTTATAAAAACATGCAAATCATGTCAAGGATCTGCTATTAAAAACAAATTTCTGCTAAGACGCATTTATTTTGCTACATGACTCATTGATTTTGCTAAAGGACTCATCCGACGCATTGTAAAGAATTTCTAGATTAATCACTGTTGTCTATATTTTTCTCTCTCGATATATCAATACAAAATTTTCGATCAATGACAGCCCAACATACACTATCATCAATTAATTATCATGGCCTCAATTTTTATCATCTTCAAACACTCTGATATACTTACTGTATATGATTCTACTAGCACTGTTGTTTCTAAGGCAAGTTTTTGTTCCTGTTCAATATTATAACCTACATAGCATAGCTTTTCCTTCATCATTCGTACAGTCTCAAAGTCTGCTGAATGATTAAATGCATAGCCTCTCAACAATAGTAACTGAAAGTACAAAACAATTTATAGTGTATTGCATATACCATAATAGAATATATGTGCATAAAAGATACCTTTTTTAACACAAGTACAAATAACTATTCCTTGCTAAAATCTATTTTGTATAAGTAATCTGCACTAACTGCATGACTAATTTTGTATAAGTAATCTGCACTAACTGCATGACTAACGTATTTAGGGCTATTTTTGCATATTTTGGCCTCTTTTTGGTTAATATGATACACATGTATTGTAAGTGCCATTTGCAATTTGTAAATTACTGTATTTGTTCACTTCGAAATATTTCACTTGAAAATGAGAACAAATCTGGAGGCATGATGCTTTAAGGGAAATTTCATAACTTGTCAATCTGGTTCACATTTAGCGTGTTAAAATACTAGTATGTCATAAAGCACATAAAAATATTTCAGCCCTTTCTTACTTGAACTATAAATGTAATTCAGTATGATAGTGATGGTGCTCCAAAAAAAATAGACATGAAGCATTTTTTAACATAAAACAAATGGTTCAATGATATTTAAAGAGAATAAATTTTAGAAAAGCACTGATATAATGTTACCCTATTGGCTATCAGACTTGAATAAATGCTAAACGACAGCAAAGCTTGGCAATTCGAAAGAGTTCACAAGGGTGTTTCATTGAGTTTAACATTGCTTACCTATATGAATACATGAAATTGTCCCAAAAAGGTACAAAGGCTTATTATTAAGATGTTTTATAGGATATTTTATAGAGTAAATCACTGCTTGATTATTATGGATGCTTAAAATTGTCAAAGCTAAAAACATCAATGTATCATACTTTGATAAGGTATTTTGTAATATCCCTGCCAGCAATATCTAGACGTCGTGTAAGATGAGGCAAAGCAAAGCCCTCATATACAGGACAAATATGTGTTACACCGTCCCCGGAATCTACTACAACTCCAGTGATCAGACCTAAAAACATCAAAAGTAACAATACAAAAGATATCTAATTCATCAGAGCAAACACATTCTTCTATGATTTAGTGAAAATTTACATAAATAAGAATCCCATTATGGACTTCCATAGATTATAATGACAGCTCATTTAACTATTCTCATTTAGGCCATCCTTAAAAAAATGTTTGTTTGCAGTAACCCGACCCAGAATTTTCAAGGTGGGTAGGTAGGTCGATTTTTTTTTTTTTTTTTTTTTTTTTTTTTTTTTTTTTGAACTGTACTCCCAAATAAACATGGAATTTCAAAATGCTGGACAATATATGCTTTGATAATCTGGTAACAATTAATAAATTGATTACTGAATTCTAATTTAATAAGAACTTCCTTTTATTTCTTCTATTTACCTTTAAAAGAACGAAAACAAAGCACAAGGCAAAATTTTCTGACTAAAAAAAAAAAAATTATTCAGACCATGAAAAAAAAATTTGAGTAGGGGCAAATTTTGTGAGTCGGTCGCGTTACTGCAAACAAACATTTTTTTAAGGATGGCCTTATTGATAATGAGGCAAGGCGCAAACCTCTTTCAAAAGGTAACTCAGTGTTATGGGACCTGTGCCTATCACAGTTCATATACCTGAGTTAATTAATCACAGAGAACAAGTGTAAGACAATTTAACACATTCCCTTCATTCAAAGAATCATTAATTTGCTGAAACAAAATTTATGATTTTAATTCTAGAGAAAACAAAAGCATATACCTTGAGCATATAATGTTAACACAGCTTGAATAGCAATGTAGACTCCTTCAAACTGGTATTTTTCAAACATAACCTGAAAAAAGATTTATAAAGAGATTAAAATAACAGGCACTTTGACTATATTTATCAAGGAAAACTTAAATGCAAAAATTTAGATATCTGAACAGTGAATTTTTTATATACTAATGAAAAACATGCAAATTTACTGACATGTTATAAATGTAAATATAACTTCTGAACTTTTTGAGTTCTGAAATCCAGAAATATCTGAAATGCGACTTATTTTACAGTTCCTAAAATTTCTCCTACTATTTTCCATCAAAATCATGTTTCTGAATAACAGAGCTACTAAATTCTATACAAATTTTTGCTACATATCTGGTACATATTAACATAACAATTAAAATACGGAAATTCAAAAACGTGTATATGATAAATAAGTACTGTATGTCATATCAACATTGCTAACTTCATATAGCAATATTCCAGCTTTAAAAGTGGGAGAAGACTTCATGTGCCTTATAACTTTGGAATAATTTCTTCACTTAATCTGACTTAAACCATGTAAAAACCACCAGACATGAGGGACAATATGTTTTGAATTCAATAACTATATTGTTAACACTGTAATTTGCAGCTTTAAAAACAAAAATGTTTTATAACTTACTTCTATCATCTTTTCTCTGTTTTTCATTGGATTCATGGGAGGTTCTGTAAGTAACACTTTTGTACCCCTTGTATTGATGTTAAGTTTCTCTGGTCCGAATGTATAATCATATAACAGCTCCATGTCTTCCCAGTCTCTGACTATACCATTCTCCATTGGGTATTTCACGTCTAACATGGATCTCAGTTGACTCGCCTCATCTCCAATCATGATATCCTGATAGTAAACATATAAATGAGCCATGTCATGACAAAACCAACATAATGGGTTTGCGACCAGCATGGATCCAGACCAGCCTGCGCATCCGCATAGTCTGATTAGGATCCATGCTGTTCGCTAACAAACCCTATAGCAAGTAGAGAAACTGATAGCGAACAGCATGGATCCTGATCAGACTGCGCGCAGGTGCAGGCTGGTCTGGATCCATGCTGGTTGCAAAACCACTATGTTGGTTTTGTCGTGACACGGCTCAAATCTATTTAAACTAACCCTTAGATGATAACAGAAAAATTCATTTAGATACTGTATAAGCATAAGGACTCATTTAAAACCAGAAACTGCAACGGTTAATAAGGGTTTTATGTTTCGATAATACAATTAAACTGGCTGTCATTGCAGTAAGCTCCTTTTTCATTGTGTCCTTAGTCATGTGTATAAAATTTTTGACGTTGAACAATCCTGTGTTCTCACCCTATTTTATTCATTACCGCATGTTTGCTTCTCTGTTAATGTATACCTGGTTGCAAAATTTTAATGTATGAATTATCATATGAAACATGGTTAATTTTAATGATCATATATTCGCTTCACAGACTTGTCCTGCTATTAAACTAATGACTATGTTATTTATAAATAAGCAAATAGTATTAATTTGTTTGTTAAAAAGACATAACATTTGTTACGCAGAAGTAACTTCCTTGATGAAAACATGCAATAAACTCAGCATGACTAATGTCTAAATGATTAGATCAAAATTGTTTATATTCACCACAACACTTCTCACTTTTTTGATGAATAATGCACAAACATAATAACATTATACCTTAATTTCCACATTGTTCACTTTGACAGCTGATCTGATGATTGGACGGCCAACAAGTGATGGGAATATAAATGAAGGGAAGTTTGAGCCAGCATTTCCAACTTTTACAAACTGAAATAAATATACAAATAAAATACATTCTAAATTCAATCAACTGCATAATAACAGACATATTGTCACATTTGTGCAGTAACAGGCTAACTCCTATCTATGTAAATGCATTACTTGACTACTAGCAATTGAGCTTCCTCACAGGAAAGAATTTATTTACCTTCCTCAATAGGTGTTTAAACCTTTATCTTATGTAGAAGGAAGTTTAAGTCCTTTGTTAAACATTATTCATGATTAATGCAAGTAATACACACAACTAATGTTGATTATACAGTATGACAGTTTTATGTCATACTGGTCATTTCTTAATATCCTTTGATAATGTATATGATTACAGGGATTTTTTTTGGCTTGTTTTATAGCCGATAATCAGTCATATTCCCAATTGAAATAGTATATTATTTTCCCAATCCACAGGAAAAAATTCCCAATTGAAAGTTACAAAATAAAAATTTTGAGTAAACTCTAAAATCTTTGAAAATTACGACTTCATCACTGTTATAATGCTAAAATGTTTGAAGATGCCATCCTAGACAGTGTTGTTTGCATTCATTAAATCACTACAAATTTTCAGTCATGCATTTTTTTCCCCAATTTTTAACAAAATATCGCTGAAATTCCCAGTTCCATGGGTATGGGTCAAATTTACAAAATCCTGGAAAAAAAACCTGGATTATGTGTATTAGTGCAAGAAAAAGAAAATGTAAAGATAAAAGTCTCAGCTAAGACAATCAAAATTGAAAGAGAAAATATATATGTCAAACATTGTCTTTTTAATAATAAATCAGACTGACTGGGGTTTTTTTTCCATATGAAACTGTTAAAAATATTTCAAAATATTGATTCAGAGTGAAGCGATGACTTGCTCTCTACATGTATCCTTACAGTTTTAGACTAGGTTGTTGACAACAGTAGTTTTAGTTTATCCATCCAATAAATCAGAAATATATTTCATTTTGGTGAAATCAAAACATACATTTTAAAAATATCAAGTATTTGCACCACTATTCTTCATGCATGACTTTTTATATAGGAAGCATAATTCTATATTATTGTGTCATGTATATATTCTGAAACTGATACATATTTTGGATTTTTTGGCTAATATGCATGCTATCTTTAATTCTGAAAACATGGCAAGTAACTGTATATTAGTGCTACAATATCTTAATCCAATCAGTGGGACATGCAGCCATTTTGTCACGCTAATCAATTAATTATCATGAAAGAGATTCATTTTAATTGTAGAAAATAGTTTAAATTAAACTTATTTAAGTTAATAAAGAAATATACAGAGGATATTGAACGAGTGTAAGTTAAATACTGAATTTATTGCACGAGTTGAATAAAATTATATTATGCAAGCCTCTGGCGAGCCAGGGGTTTTTTTTAGGAAAAGGGAAAGACGCTGGACGCTGGCAGGGAGGGGAAAAAATATATGAAACAAGAGGGCCAAGATGGCCCTAGATCGCTCACCTGACCCGTCAAACTCATCCGAACAATTACCTAGACAAGCGTTCTGACCAAGTTTCATGACAGGTGTGTCAAAAATGTGACCACTAGTGTTAACAAGGATTATCCATATTTGAGCAGTGTGACCTAGTTTTTGACCCCAGGTGACCCATATTCGAGCTTGACATTCGAGCAATTACCTAGACAAGCATCCTGACCAAGTTTGATGATAATCGAGTCAAAAATGTGACACAAGAGTGTTCACAAGGTTTTTCTATTTTTAGCTCCTGTGACCTAGTTTTCCATCCGAGATAAATCATGTTCAAACTTATCCAAGCATCGACTAGAAAAGCATTCTGACAAAGTTTGATGATGATTGGGTCAAAAATGTGACCACTAGACTGTTCGCAAGGTTTTTCTATTTTTAGCTCCTGTGACCTAGTTTTCCACCCGAGATGACCCATGTTCGAACTCATCCAAACAATTGACTAAAGAAGCATCCTGACAAGGTTTCTTAATAACTGGGTCAAAAATGAGACCCTCTAGAGTGTTCACAAGGTTTTTCTATTTATAGCTCCTGTGACCTAGTTTTTCATCGGAGATAAACCATACGTGCAAACTCATCAAAGCATTTATCTAAACAAGCATCCTGACAAAGTTTGATCATGATTAGGTAAAAAATGTGACCACTAGAGTGTTCAAAAGGTTTTTCTATTTTTAGCTCCTGTGACCTAGTTTTTCATCAGAGATGACCCATATTCAAACTCATCTAAGCAATTGACTAGACAAGCATCCACACTAAGTTTGATGATGATTGGGTAAAAAATGTGACCACTAGAGTGTTCACAAGGTTTTTCTATTTATAGCTCCTGTGACCTAGTTTTTCATCAGAGATGACCCATATTCGCCCTCATCTGCGCAATTGACTATACAAGCATTCTGACCAAGTTTGATGATGATTGGTTCAAAAATGTGACCACTAGAGTGTTCACAAGGTTTTTCTATTTATAGCTCCTGTGACCTAGATTTTCATCGGAGATGACCCATGTTCGAACTCATCCAAGCAATAATCTAAATAAGCATTCTGACAAAGGTTGATGATGATTGGGTCAAAAATGTGACCACTAGAGTGTTCACAAGCAATTATGGACGTACGACGGACGGCGGACATTCACCGATCCTAATAGCTCACCCTGAGCAAGCTCAGGTGAGCTTAAAAGTTAATTAGGGGAAATTATGATGTTATTTACACTATATACTAAACTACATAGTAGAGAGTCATAACTAATCTTTTCCCCCCTTAAAAACTTTATCATTATGCAAAATATTCTTTGCAGTATAACTTCTTAATATGTATGGTAGTGAATGGCTTTTACACTTCCATTTTAGTATGAAATTTAACACAGTATAGGTATAATAGTGTATCTGTGACACACTTTAGCCCCATAAAAGTCATTCCCATAATAAGAAAAACAAAATATATTACTTTACTAAAAATAACCAAGAAAATGATAATATTTTGATAGCTATAGTACCGTTCAGTACGGGATATAGCTAAGGAAAAATGGCAGCCTCCATGCTGAGACAGTACTTGCAGTTTCCTGCAATGTTTATGGTTATTTTTTTACTACAATTGGTGGGTTATCCTTAATAAAATGTAGAAAATTAATATTTTAAACCATATAAATATTTCATCTGATCCAGTTCAAAAGGAAAATAGATTTTTTTGGGGGGAAGAAACTTGGCTTTGTACCGAGGGGAAGACGCCGACTATCGTGTCAATTTTGTTAGTAAAAAAAAAACCTGCGTTGAAGCATATTATTGTATTCAACGAGTTCAATAAATTCAGTAATGAACTTACATGAATTTACGGGTGTGATTAAAGGCCAAATAGTGTATTTAAAAATTATGTTTAAAACTGTAACATTCTAGTTTTCATGTTGCTTATTGTTCAATTGGCAGTCCACTTGACAACATGATAAAAGTCATAAAAGCATATATCTAGGTTGTAGTCACTTTTCCCTATACATGTATGTCCCAGCTCTTACAAATGCAAAACTTCTGTCAAATGTCTGAATAAGTCTATTTTGTGGTTTACATACAATGCAAGCTCTGTCTGCAAACCATCACATAGTGGACACTATCAGCATACATCAATTTCAGAATTCTTTTTAAAAAAAATTTCATTCAAAAGATTTGCCCATCAATGGTTTGGGTAAAATGTCCATTAGTGCCTACTTAAGTTATACAGGGAAGTCAAAGGCTGGGAACTCAAAGCTGGCCCGTATTTTGGCTTGCCTGGCTTTAGACTATTTGTATGAAATGAGATTTTCAGTGTCAGTTCTAGTTAGTAGTTGGGCGCCGCCATTTTCAATGTAACTCAATGATAATAAATATCGGGTATTCCGATAACGGAACAATCGCTACTTTTCAGATTAATAATAATCATCGAGTGTTCTGAGTGAAAACAGGAAACACTGAATGCTGTTTAAAATGGAAAAATAAACGATTTTTTAAACCAAATTCCCTTTGCCTAATTTCATATTAGAGTCAGTGATTTTTCTCACTTAATTGGGAAGAGGCCTGAGCCTCTTGATTTTGGGAAAAATTATTGCTAAAATTGCTGATTTGGGAAGTAAAAAAGCTGGTTTAAGTTCAGATTTTTGGGAAAACTGCATGATTTTAAAGAAAATTTCAATTGGGAAGAGGCCTTTTTTCGGAGTCTGTTATATAATTAGAAAAATCACTGAGAGTGGTTGGACCAATGCTCGGCGCATACATGTATACATGTACCAATGCTTGGCATAAAAAATTTTTTTTTTTAGAATATCTGAAAATGTCTCGAGTTATCTCCAATTTAGGTCACTGGTTCCTTCATTTACATCTTTCACCATTTAATCCTGGTGTGGTTCACTGCTGGTAAAGTCACGTGACAATGCTAATAGCAGACAAACAACCGTATGTAATCCCCAACATATAAATTATTAAAATCTTTTAACACTAGAGTTCTGGGGCTGCAAAATTTAAACTAAAAGTTGGATACTTGTAAATGTATGAACCTAATTTGGTTGTTACAATTTATTCAACATGTTTTCTTCACAAGATAAAAAAGAGATTTTATTCGAAAAACAATCCTGCATCATGTAGTATTGTATGCCGAGCTAAGCCTATGGTACAATTTCACGCAAACCACTCTTGTTTATCCGGACTATCTATAGCTCCAGCCATGCACATTATTATGTAATTAGCGAATTTTACACAATGGCTATTTAAAACAACATCATCGGTCTTGAAAATGTAGTCCAATAGATTAGACGTTACAGGCTTGTTATAGTTTTATGTTGGTCAAGCCTGACGTCTAATAGTTATTGCTCATAAACGCGTAGCATTTTGAAAAATTAAAAAAATGTCTGTTGACTTGCCTTTCAAGCTTTATTCAAAAGCTTATATTCTGTTCTTTCAATTGCATGGTCTATCATTAACAAAAACTTTCAAACAATGTACTTATTAATTAAAAATAAAATATAAATATCAGTCTATTTTGCTCATCGGCCATACTGGTTAAGTAAGGCGTTTTACAGATTGATTCCAATTTTTTGAACGGAAAAATATATTCGAACACACTGGCGGTGCATGGGAAATTATTTCGTTGAAAAAATATTCCGTTAGAAACTTCTGGACTCATTTAAACGCTTGCATTTGAATTAGCCAATCAGATTTCGCGCACTGTATGGCAGCCATTTGTATATCGGCTGTACAAGGAATTTAATTAAATGAGAGGATTTAATCATGACTTTTCAGATGTGACAGTTCAATAATTTATTAAAAGGTATTCATTTTTTAGTTTTGTTCATAAATAGGTCAAAATTAATGTAAATACACGCTGTTTTAATTGTTTAAATTCATTAGATCTAAATCGATGTCTAATGTCAATTTTTTTGCTACACGATTTTGCAAAGATCTGTTAAGACCTAACGTAACATGGAAAATGAAAAATGTAAAATATCAGATTAATGAATGATAAATATGAAATAGGTTACGTATAGGTCTTATAATTAGGACTATTGAAAATGTACATATAACATGGAGGTTTGTTGACGTTGATTTGAATTTGCCATATCAAATATAGTATTTTTACGCCGAGCGTTGGTCCACCCACTCTAGTTTTTCATTTTGGTTCATTTAATTGCTTGAATTAATAAAATGAAGGCTGCATAGCAAGAGTGACAAGAAATGTATCACTCCTGCATAGCAAGAGTTTGCAATTCACTTTATTATTACGTATATTAACTTTTTAAATAGTCACAAATGATAAAGGTGGAGTTGGACAGTTGAGCTATTGGAGGAAAACTGGGGAAAACATCTCAGTTATGGTCAGGACACAATAGTTGAAATTATTGATGCAAAGAATATGTTACTTTCATTCATTTTTACAATATAATATTCTCGATCACAGTCTATCAATTGCAAACTTATTGAAATAAACAAAATTGACAGCTCAAAACTTCACTTCCGGGTTTCATTCAATTTGACAACAATTTTTATATTTCTGGTGAATCTGGGTAATAAATACGCTGGGAAATTAAAATGCATACCCCTGTTCCATTGTCACAAACAATGACGCGATTGCCATTGCTATCCATTGCGATGGCGATGGATTTACAACAATTTTAATTGTTTCGGTTTTCTGCTTAATTTCCTCCCGGAAACAACTCCCAATAGGCTACATACCACCAAATATTTATTCATTTCGTTCCCAGGTTGAACACCACTAAGCAATTTTCTTCAATTTAGTCATCGTTTCGATTTATTCCAAACACTTACAATATTTTCATATATATATAAACATGCATATATAAAACACACAGAAAAATTCAACAAAATAATTATACAAGATACAAGATACAAGAAACTTTATTTTAAGTCGGTTTACATATTACAATAAACATTAGCTAATAAGCTATTTACCGACAATAATTATTAAATTAATTAGTATGTTTTATGTTACCCTAGGATTGTCCAATAAACTAAAAGCTTCCAATGGGGTTTATTTACTGTATAATTATCACACTAACTTATATTATAATAAATGAATTTTTAAGAAGTTAAAATAAATGAAAAATCTTGCAAACATTGTACAACAATCAAGAAACAGTTTTCGATATAATGAGACAAATGCAATGTACACAAACAAACTGAAATCAATTCCGTATAAACTAATACATTATCAAATATAGAAACATAAACATGTTACAAAACTTAATCACACGTATTTATTTAGTAATAAATAAACACAGTTAATTGTTTGTATTTTTCATTATTTAAGAAAAGTTTAACTTTCGTTTAAAATGTTTGGATATTTTCGATTGACCTAATTGTGGAATTATGCACTTATAATTCATTTATGTTATCACTGTAGCAACTCTATACTTCCCATGATTCTCTATAACATGTATTCCCGCCTAAATGTATGCAGCTCCAGGCATTGGGAATTAGTCTATTAAACTTTAAAGACACACTTTATGTTAGTTATTTATACAATGACTTAAATTAGATGTCATTAGACTATCGTGGACTATTGTCCACACAAAGTACCAAACACTGGTAAAGAATTCTTGTCTTTTGTGGCATTGTAGAAAAATGTGTTTGTAACATGAGAATCATTTTGAGGCAAAACAAAATTAGATTTTCTACATACCTCAAACAAATCCCTTCAATAAGAAGGGCTTTTGTTATAATATTACTTTATGAATGTGGCTAAGTCTTAACAGTCTAACTCAATCATTAAAAAAAAAAAAATTCTCAAAAAGACTAAAAGTCGAAAGCTGAAGAAAAGGAATATGATTCTTACCTCAAAAACTCAGAGAAAATAACAAAACATTACAAATTAAACAAGTTAAAGTGACAATAAGTTAAGTGAAACCACAGCAACGTTATGCATATATGTACATAAGATTTTTATTGCTGAAGTCAAATTTCATTTAAATGCCAAGAAATAATATGGAATGTTGCCCCCCCCCCCTCCCCCCCAAAAAAAATAAATAAATAAAAATAAATAAACAGCAAATTAAAAAAAAATAACAAAAAAAACTTCAACGTAAATAACATCTTGCAGATTTTGCATATATGTGGTTGCTTGTTTAAATATCCAATTAATATCTTTTTATTTCTTTTTTATCTATCTTTTTCTTTTTTGTTTGTTTCCCGGGTTTGTTATAAGTATGTTAGATTAGTATGATTTTTTGCTATCATTCATTTGATCGATTTATTGATTGATTGATTCATTCATTTATTCATTGCTTGATTGATTCATTTATTGATTGATTTTTTGATTGATCGAATGATTCATTCATTCATTCATTATTCATTCAGTCGTTCATTTCTTGTCGGCTGTCTTCTTTCTACAGTACAGTAGCCTTCAGTAACAGTCATATTTGTCCATATTAGTCATATTCCGCTTGAGGGTAAATTGTGAAAGAGATACTCATCAACTATCTACATTATCAACGTGATACTATATAGTTGGTCAGCATATTAGTTTGTGCCATTAAAGATGTCTGCCGCCATGTCATCAATAAAAACAGCTTTTGTGATATTTATTTTAATTAAGACCGTATTTAGCGGTAAATACAAGCCGGTAGAAGTTGAAATTAAAACAAATGAAGGTGGTGAGCCATTGAAAATATTCACAGCGGAGGAACTTGCTAAATATGACGGAACTGACGTAAGTAGCCTGCTAATGTAACGATTCGCTCCATTGACTATTCGCCCCAATCATGGGACGAATCTCAGTATTTAGAAACCTTTCCTCAAGTATTAAAAAATGAAAGAAGGCAAAGTCTATGGACAGAGATCAGATAAAAATTAACTTAAAAGCTAAATGCAGCTTTATTCTGTTCATCTTTTAATATACATTTATCTTTTTATGCCTGTATCATACATGTACTGGTTGGGGACCACCAAAACCGGACAACCACCAATCCCGGACGGCCCCGAAAATCTTTGATTTAGAATTTTCTTTGTTCAGTGGTTGTCAGTCACTTTTTTTATCAACAATAAATGCATGTTTCTTCTAAAATTAAGTAAATTTATTTATTTCAACCTCCGTAAATGGTAATATTTTGATGTCTATTTCAAGAATGTTGACGTTGAAATTTGGGGGTCAAGAAAGCAATGCCTGACATCATATAGCAGCAATAATCATTTGCAGAGTAAACAATAGAATATTCAATACTTCAGCATTTGCTGTTGAAATATTGTATGTCATGTTAAAAATAAAAAAAAGAACACCAAAGCGTTTATCTGAATTAAATCAACGTTATTACATATCTGTCCGGACACATGGTACTGTAGTATGTACAATTTAGGTAATTTTTGATACCCTCCTTGATGGGCCTCAGATACAAGTGTCAACATAATCAGAACTAAACAAACTAATTTGTAAGTTAGGAGAAGAACCTAGCTGTACTGTGTCAAATTTTTGTACCTCTAGCTTTAAAATTATGAAATTTGTATAGAAAAATGTTCAAAAAGTGTCCGTTTGATGGTTCCTGACCAGTAGATAATTGTAAAGTGTAATTCAACGATTTCAGAATTGGTATTTCCATACACTGTTTCCGTTTTCAATCGGAACTCTTCTATGCTTATTCCTTAGCCGAAATGTTATGATTATTCCTGTTATAAATACTTTGCTGAGTTGGATTCAAAATTGAGATGTTTAAGTATCATGTATGATAAATTAACGCATTAAAATTTTATTGATTCAATTTCAATGGCAGTATGCTGATATGGGGAAGTCATTCACAGTCCCGGGCTTTGGCCAACTTGGCTTTAAATGGCAAAGTGTACATGTATATTTAAAATGAAATCAAATAAACAAACGATTAAAAGATATATATATATAGAACAGGGATTGAAAATTCCACTCGTCCGCTCGTATTTACAAGTAGAGTGCTGGTAGAATGCTCGTCCAGTAGGACAATCTGAATTTCTCGAAGTAATAGATAGCTAGAATTCTTATAATCGGAAACGTTTTGTTTTAGTTTTGTATAAATTGCGCACTGAAGTTAAGGTATTGGTAATTGGATACGGGTGTAACTGGAATGTGCCCGACAATACTCTATAAAGTGTTTGATTTATATAATATGAAATTAGGCAAAGCCTATGAACGGGGAAGTCGTTAAAAAATTCTTTCATTCTTTCCGTTGTAAAGGTGTCATTCGGTATTACATGCACCGCTTCCGTTTTCACTTGGAACACTCGACGATTATTATTAATCCGAAAAGTTGAGATTTGTTCCGTTATCGGAATACCCCGCCTATTATCATTGAGTTACATTGTAAATGGCGACGCCCGACTAGAACTGACACTGAAAATTTCTTTGATAGGTATAGAATTCTATATATTTTTTAATTGTTTTTTATTTGATTTTCTTTTAAATATACACGTGTAGTCTTTAGCCGGGCAAGCCAAAGCCCGGACCCGCTTCGCGGGCCCGGTCTTTGACTTCCCCGTATAACTTAAAACACAAGTTTTGTTTCTGGTTCTGCATACTGGTCCACCTGGCATTACAGTATATGTGAATTTTCTTTAATATTCCATATGAGATTGTTCTTGTATACGCTGTCAGTGTGTCATCTAATTAAACTATTGGCCCAGCTTCTTTGATACAAAAGTTGAAAACCAAACACCTAAACTTGTCAAAAGTTGATTAGTTGATGAAATGAATCTTTTTCAGTACCATAAATTCTTAAAACATTTCATTTGTAGGTATATTTATTCTTCTATCCACAAGATTTAAGGTATAACATGTTTTATAGTTTTGAGTTAATTTTGGACAGGGCTGTTTGCTTATTAGGCAAATATTTTTTTTTTTTTTTGCATTAAACTTTTATGTTGAAAATTAATTCTATCAGTTTTGTTTGTTTATTATTCATTTATTACATCAGTTCTTATTTTATCATTAATATTTATTTTGGTACTTTTAACTTGACCATGAAGTTTTGTATCTTACATCTATATTATTATTTACTATATTTATTTTGGCACATTTTTGTCAACATTAAGTATGAACATTATATAACTCGGTATTTTAAGAAAGCTTATGAGGTACCCAGTAATGTGAGGTCTCTCTGGTCTAACTAATTAAGTTTCTTTTACATTTGTAAGACCCATATTGTATAATTATTATATATATATTTGAGCATTCAATCTAAAGATAATGTTACACTAATTGATTTTGTTATCATTGAATTTTAATATCTATATATCTACACATGTGCTTATAGTGCAATGATTTTGCATGATAATTTACCTTGTGATACAAAGATTGATCTCAAATTTACATGTCTTCATTGTACATAATATCTATTGTATAAAGTGGCTCTATCGAATATCATTAACAACCTGATGGAACTGAAAGTTATTATCCCTTTTCACCAGTATAGACTTTTTAGACAGGCCAGTATGTACATCTGTGTAGTCTGACTTAAGGCACTATACTGTTGGTAACTTAATTTTTGTACATGTATTTTGAAATTAAATCCCTTAATATTTTAATAATCATAGAACTGTCCAAATTAAAAGCAGGGCAAATCCATTAGACAAATCCAGCAGTTTAAGAGTTAAGCTTTTTAAAGTAAGTGTGTATGTATGACCATGATATCAAAGTGGTTGAAATAAATATGTTGACAGGTAACTTGTCCTATTTCTCTATCACATAGGCTTTTTACTATACATATAATGCTTCTTAATGCAATTTAATTGACTTTACATAATGTATGTATGAATTGCTGAGAAAAATATCTCGGAGCTGAGTCAGAGGATGATTAAGTCATGAAAAAAATTAAGACTATAAATGTCGGGTACTTGAATATATCATTGATATAGATCAAGACTTTAATATAAACCGTTGCCTTAATCAATATTTCTTCACTGTAACTGCTAATGTCAAAAAATGTTTGGTAGCATCTGATTTAACCTTTCTTTGGGTTCGTCTTGGCAGTTTAGGGAAGTCTCTATGTCTCACCCATATTGTATATTTATATATTGATAAATTCTTTCCAAAGATTGATTACTTTGACAATCTTGAAATATTGTGTCATGAAAAAGAAATGTCCAAATTAGCCTTGGGCTAAAGTTTGTTTAATGATTTTAATTATTTATATTAAGAAGGAATGTGCATTAAGTAGCTTTAAACCCTTTGTATGACAGGGAACTTAAAGTGACTCATTGTAGTGGAGATATTGTTTGGTTTTATTAACCTGTCAAATACATACTGATTACACGGTCGATGCACACAATATATTAATCTTTGGTAGATTTTCGGTAAGTTCCGTGAGATGTACGCTTTACGATGGTATTTAATTTAATTTGTATGAATGAACTAAGTGTACTGTAAGCGTCATAGCGCAATAGGGTAAAGCATGAGTTTATAATCTAAGTGCCATACGTGTTTTAAGTTCGACACCGCGTTGGTCCATGTTTTTTTCTTATTAATACTTTCAACATTATTGAAGCTATATGCGATTATTATTTTATGTTCATTTTCTTTTATTATGTTTTACTTAAAAAAGTCTATACTATTTTTAAAATTTAAATTTTTAACATGTTCAAATAATTCCTGTTTAAAATTAAAACGGATTAATATCAATAATTGTCATTTCAATGCCGTAAAACACACTACAAATCGGTTCCATTAACTATACTGCAAAAATAAAGAAAGAGTAGGCCTAAAACAATGTCATCAGTAAGGATCGAACCACAGACCTCTCAATTATCAGGCATTCTCTTTACCGACTGTGCTATTGTGAATTAACGAAAGCCTCCACATTAAGGTTGCATGACTTTCAAAACATGACCAATATACTCCACATTAATTCTCGTAAACTACACGGAACAAACCAAAGTGGGATCGAATATTTAAATGAGTGCTATAATGTATTCATAATTGACAGGTCAATAAAATCAGACTATATGTCCATGAGATATGGACATGAATTTAGATGTTTTGATGATAAGGATATTTTTTAATGAAAATAAGTGTTTGAAATTATTTTTTGTACAATAGGATTGCAGTATTTCAAATAAATCATAACACATTTACTTTGGTAAATCGACAAACTGTTAATCAGTCTAGTAAATCGTCTGTTTTTAAAAATGATTTAAAGCTGGTTTAAATTTATTAGAACATATTATAATTATTTTCAAAATTAAATTGGTTGTGCTACTGCGCAGCTTCTGACCAATTTAATTTTGTAAATACGTACTAATAAACTTTAACTTTTGCTTAAAACATAGAACTTTGTAACGTATTTATTGTTTTCACACCAATTATGATGATTCTACATGTAGCTGTTGAAATCAATTTTTGTGATGACTGGTTGCAGCTTTCACCATTTTCACATGGCTAACAGTCCAAAACCAATCTTAGAAGTCTTTACTTAAGAAATAATATATCCAAAACAGTGATTTTATCGCTCAATAACATCACTGTTTGGCGTTGGGATGCGAGGAATAATATCACGAGGGCGTAGCCCAAGTGATATAATGATGCGCATCCCAATGACAAACAGTGATGTTATCAAGGGATAAAATCACCGATTTGGATATATTATTTTGATTCTAACACGGCATCAGCAAATAAATGTTGCCGTACCTGTTATTAAGCTAAATTGCACCTGATTTGTTTCCGTACTTATTTTCAGCGCATCACATTTTTAGTGGTTATGTCACATGTATATAATGATTACGTCACAAGTCTAAATATAAACGTCAACAGTGATTTTGTTGCATAATAACACACACTTTCGGTTCTTCTATGTTCAAAAGGGAAAACTGCGGGTTGTGTTAGAATAAAGTACAAAACATATTTGGTTGTAAGGTTAAAAAAAGCCAAAATCTTGCACAGGACTTCTTTGCTATTTATCTGTAATGTACAAATATACATGTCTTGCTGTAACTAAAATTGTAGCTATCCAATATTTTACCACAATCAAAAATAAAATAAAAGGAATAATATCATTGTTTTAGTATGACTAAAATTAATGCTCTATCAGGTCTATATATGTGGATACTAATTGCATATTCCTCTTCATATAGTCACTAATGTCCTTGTCAATGAAGTAAATAAAACAATGTGTGGTAAATTTCTAATGATGGACTTGTTTTTTTTTTCCTTTCCCGCCAAAATGCACCAATCAAATTTGGGGAAAATGAAGGTGTAAGTTTTTGATGTTACATAAAGGAAAAGGTGAGTTTTAAAGTTTTTAAATGGGGGAAAAATTTATAAAATAGTTTTTTATTTTATTGCAGTTAAAAAATGTTTTTCGTAAGTGAAAAAAGGCAGGCAATATGTAGGGAAACATTTTTTCTTACCTTTCCCCCAAATTTTAGGGCCGAAAAAAAAAATAGAGGGGACTGGTAGGGTTTAGCTTTGTAAAAAGCCAGTAAAAAATTTTAATTTGCTTTTTACAAAGGAATTAAGGGGATTTTTGAAGCCAAAATGATTACACTAAATTAATTAACAATGTTATTGGCCAAAATTACTAGCGTTTTTTAAGAAGCTGAAAAAAAATGTTATAAGCTTGTTTCTTTTAATGAGGATTAAAACTACCAATTAATTTGGGAGCATGTGGTTTCCCGGTTTTGCTTTAAACATTCATTGTTTACATATGTTGATTTCAGCATTGTTACAACAAGAGAATCAGATTACAATATCTTAAGCGCGGCGAAAGATGCTTAGTAGGAGCCCATGCTCTGTGGTCACTAGACGAGAAACGATTTGACTCAGGATTTGGTAATGTTCAGTTTTGTTTCATTTAAAAACACCATCAATGTATTTACAATTTTCAGGGTATTTTTAAGTTTTGTAAAGACAGGGATGTTTGTTTCTCTGAGAAATAAAGCTATCCTGTTATTTCACAGATAGTTAGTTGTTCTACTCAAATGTTTGCTTGTGCCTGAACTAATGTACATGAATAGTTGAACAATAAAGGTCTTAATCAATATTCAAATATAATACATATTTGTGGACCGTTTATTTCATTGAGATATATTGGTTATTATTTTGTTAGAAAATGTCAGTCTGTGGCTGAGTGATTAACGCCGTTGACTGGCCCACACTGCTGTTGTTTCGAATCCTGACAGAAACATTGGATTCTTTTGTGTGAGAAAGCCATCCAGCTTACTTATATATTGTAGCTGAATTGTCATGGAAATGTTATATCTTATTCATTGATTAGCATTTTTAAACCAGAAACTTTGTTGATTTCTATTAACAGACAGGCCTTGATGATGAACAGCTAGAGGGACTAGATGGGATTTATACTGGCACATACCTGGCGAAGTACCCAATAGTTGGTTACATGGACTTTCTTATAGCTCAACAATCAGATGATATCAAGAAAAGATTTACCAATGAATTGTAATCTCTTATTATGCAATATGAAATATACGTGTTCAATGATATTGTTTTACATAAAGCAAGATCATCATAATGTCTACTCTGTCCATCCAGTTATTGTAAATTTTAGAAATGAATTTAATCTTCGAAACTTTAGGAATAAATATTAAAAGCAGAATCTCACAAATGTTGATATAATAAAAAAAAGTAGTTCCTTCTAGTTAAGTGTATATATTTCCTAAGAAAAAGCAAACCGTTTTTTAACACTTTATTTTTGGTTACAGATAACAATATAGAAAGTACAACATGTACATCACAAAATTTCAGCCTCTGAAACCTTGTTTCACTGAAGGTTTGACTTTTTTCTTTTCAACAAAACAAGAACTTGCCTGGACATTGATGGTTATCGGTACGCAAATTTCATCTGTCACAAAAGTTATCTTATTTATATAACTGTATATACTATGTATTTTACTTGTTCTTCACAGCTGTCAGTTTGGTGGTTCTAATCAAGTACTAGTTTGTGCCTAAAATTATGCATGGAAGGGCACCTGAGATCTTTTCCACCAGTAAAGCTGGAAAGTGGCCATATGAGCTATACTGTGTTGGTGCGAAGTGACAGGGTGAGCTTTTGTGATCGCTTTTCGTCCGGCGTCCGTCCGTCCGTCCGTCGTCCGTCCGTAAACTTTTACTTTAAATGACATCTCCTCATAAACCACTTAGCCAATTTCATCCAAACTTCACAGGAATGTTCCTTTGGTGGTCACCTTTAAAAATTGTTCAAAGAATTTAATACCATGCAGAACTCTGGTTTCCATGGCAACCGAAAGAAAAAACTTAAAAAATCTTCTTTTAAAAAACCATAAGAGCTAGAGCTTAGATATTTGGCATGAAACATCTTCTAGTGAGTGTCTACCAAGTTTGTTCAAAATAAAAGCCCTGGGGTCAAAATTGGCCCCGCCCCGGGGGGTCATTGATTTTCCCTAAATGCATATAGTAAAAACTTAAAAAAATCTTCTTTTAAAGAACCCCAAAGAGCTAGAGCTAAGATATTTAGCATGAAACATGTTCTAATGGGTGTCTACCAAGTTTGTTCAAATAAAGCCCTGGGGTCAAAATTGGCCCCGCCCCAGGGGGTCATTTGATTTTCCCTATATGCATATAGTAGAAAATTTAAAAAATCTTCTTTTAAAGAACCCAAAGAGCTAGAGCTAAGATATTTAGCATGAAACATGTTCTAATTGATGTCTACCAAGTTTGTTCAAATAAAAGCCCTGGGGTCAAAATTGGCCCCGCCCCAGGGGTCATTGATTTTCCCTATATGCATATAGTAAAAACTTAAAAAATCTTCTTTTAAAAGAACCAAAAGAGTTAGAGCTAAGATATTTTAGCATGAAACATTTTCTAATAAGTGTCTACCAAGTTTTTTTCAAATAAAAGCCCTGGGGTCAAAATTGGCGCCCCCCGGGGGTCATTGATTTTCCCTATATGCATATAGTAAAAAAACTTAAAAAAATCTTCTTTTTTAAAAGAACTCAAAGAGCTATGGCTAAGATATTTAGCATGAAACATGTTCTAATGGGTGTCTACCAAGTTTGTTCAAATAAAAGCCCTGGGGTCAAAATTGGCACCGCCCCGTGGGTCATTGATTTTCCTTATATGTGTATAGCAAAAACTTAAAATCTTCTTTGAAAAAACCCAAATAGCTAGAGTTTAGATATTAAGCATGAAACATCTTCTAGTAAGTGCCTACAAAGTTTGTTCAAATAAAAGCCCTGGGGTCAAAACTGGCCCGGCCCCAGGGGTGTCATTGATTTTAACTATAATGTGTATAGTAAAAACTTAAAAAAAATCTTCTCCCCGTGGGTCATTGATTTTCCTTATATGTGTATAGCAAAAACTTAAAATCTTCTTTGAAAAAACCCAAATAGCTAGAGTTTAGATATTAAGCATGAAACATCTTCTAGTAAGTGTCTACAAAGTTTGTTCAAATAAAAAGCCCTGGGTCAAACTGGCCCGGCCCCAGGGGTGTCATTGTTTTTTAACTATAATGTGTATAGTAAAAACTTTAAAAAAATCTTCTTTTAAAAAGCCCAATGAGCTAGAGCTTAGATGTTTAGCATGAAACATCTTCTTATGGGTGTCTACCAAGTTTTTGCAAATAAAAGCCCTGGGGTCAAAATTGGCCCCGCCCCGGGGGTCATTGATTTTCCCTATATGCATATAGTAAAAACTTAAAAAATCTTCTTTGAAAAAACCCAAATAGCTAGAGTTAAGATATTAAGCATGGAACATCTTTAAGTGAGTGTCTACAAACTTTGTTCAAATAAAAGACCTGGGGTCAAAATTGGCCCCGCCCCGGGGGTCATTGATTTTCTTTATATGTGTATAGCAAAAACTTAAAATCTTCTTTGAAAAAACCCAAATAGTTAGTGTTTAGATATTAAGCATGAAACATCTTCTAGTAAGTGTCTACAAAGTTTGTTCAAATAAAAGCCCTGGGGTCAAAACTGTCCCGGCCAAAGGGGTGTCATTGTTTTTAACTATAATGTGTATAGTAAAAACTTAAAAAAAATCTTCTTTTAAAAAGCCCAATGAGCTAGAGCTTAGATGTTTAGCATGAAACATCTTCTTATGGGTGTCTACCAAGTTTGTGCAAATAAAAGCCCTTGGGTTAAATTGGCCCTGCAACATTGGGGGGGTTGGGGGGCCTATATACAGCTTACAGGTGAGCGACCTCAGGGCCATCATGGCCCTCTTGTTTCATGTTGTCTTTTGAGTGTAAGTTTCAGTTACGTTTATTGAACGCCGCCTTTCCTTGTTGATCTTGTTTATCATATATTTCATACTATTTTTTACTATTTGTACACATATTAACCAGATTTTCTAATTATTTATAAAAATTGAAAAAGGTTGAGATAAAGAATTTTTTTACTAAAAGTTTTGCGTAGGTATAGCGTAATAAAATAGTAAATGAATGAACATTTTGACAAAATTACATCTATAAAGCCTGTACATGTAATATTATGAGCATAAACATTGTCATGTCATGTGTTGATGTAATCATGAGAAAATGTGTACGGCATTATGTGGGAGAAATTAATTAAAACTGCATTGCTATATTGTAAAATCAGGAATTTAATAGAAATTTTGTTTATTACATAGTATTACTAGTGAACACCACCTTGTGAATTTGCCATTTGTTACTTTTACATATAAGATTACAAGCTAGTGGACACCACCTGTTACATTCCATCTTCTGAAAATATTAAATTCTAGTATTATATTATATGTGCCATTTGTGAAAATATTACACCTGAAGTTCAGTCTATGAACTACACTAGAAAGCTTGCTCAACACCACTCCTGTATTAAGACCGCTTCACTGTTAAGACCACCCTGTTATTAAAACCAATTTTTATCTTGCACTGAAGCGTAAGAAATACTTGATATATTATATAATTAGTCCTCTCAGTAACATGTAAATGCAATCTAATCCTATAATTTCAATACTTGTATACTTGTTTTGTTTTGTATATATTTTATCAATTATTTTATATGATACCAATTTATATGTATATATGTCTGTGTATGGAAGTAAATGGGCACATGGTTTGAGCTGCATAAGGTGCTAGGTTCTAGTTTTGGCTGCCATATTCCAGTTTTTAGATGTTTAGTATCAATATTGTCGTTTTATTATTGAGCGGTTAATACATGGCAGAATAGGACCAGAAGGTTATAATTGATCTGCAAAATGAATAATGGCCCAGAGGGTTTCAGTCCAAGGGCATTATTCATTCCAGGGCCAATTATCACTTGAGGGCCGTCTCTGATGATTTTAAATACATTTGTTACTATATATATTATCAAAATGATTTCAACTGATTATAAGTGACAATTATGAGTTTGTTGACCGGGTTTTGCGGAGCTCCTGCAAAAACTGTAACTTTGACGTGACATTTTACATTATGAAAACAGGGTGTGGCATTATGTTTTGTGGACCATTTATCATTCCCTCCAGCTCACTACGCCATGTGTTAACCTCTTAATAACAGATTTATGCAATTTGTTGAGAAATTCAGACTGGACTTGAGTTTGAATTAGCAAGTGTTTTAGTATATACCTATATAAAGTATTTTGTGTGTTATGTACATAAGTTGTCTGATTCAGATTATTTCATCTACTTCAGACTTGTGATAAAAATAAAGATACATATCATTATATGTTTTATTATTACATGTTAATAAATAACTTCAGGAAAATGGGTTGATGTGTTTGTTATTTACTTGGAGTGTGTTATGACAGTTTAAAGTACATGTATATGTTTGATGTTTAGATGTGAAATGATTATCATATGACTATTTGAGATATAGGATGCTCTATCCTGCTCATTATGGTGTAAGGCTCAACATTAGTGTAAGGCTCAACATCCGTGTCACGCTTTCTTTAAGTTGTTCGCACTGCACAGTTATTAATCCCCTTCTGCAAAGCGGTAAGGGGATTAAAGGAATAGTCTCCGTCTGTCCGCACTACCGAATGGGGATAGGGGGCCATCTAACTGTAAACAGAACAAAAAAGAACAATAGAATTCATTCAGTAACAATAGAATAAGAGGCAATGGCCCTTTATTAAACAAAAAAAGTAACAATAGAAATGGCCCTTTATCCCTATTCGGTCGGATGTCAGTCTGTCTGTAACACTTTTGTGTCTGCTCCATAACATTTGAAATAACTTGGCACAAGGGATCACCATAATGAGACGATGTGCAGAGCTACCCCCAAGATCAAGGTCACACTTAAAGGTCAAATGTTAAAAGTCTTCATTTCATAATTAAAAGTCTACATTTTGTGTCCCCTCAATAACTATTAAACCCCTAAAGGTTTTTTTTAAATAACTTGGCAAGAGTGATCAACATAATGAAACGATGTGCAGAGCCCAATGATTGGGTTGCTACCCCCAAGGTCAAGGTCACACTTAAAGGTCAAATGTTAAAAAGTTTAATTTGGTGTCCGCTACATAACTTTTAAACTGCTGAAAGTTTTTTTAAATAACTTGGCACAAGTGATCACCATTATGAGACGATGTGCAGAGCGCAATAATTGGGCTGCTACCCCCAAAGTCAAGGTCACACTTAAAGGTCAAATGTTAAAAAGTCTATGTTTCGTGACTGCTCCATAACTTTTAAACTGCTGAAAGTTTTTTTTAACCGTGTCAGAGTTTCATTGCGAAAAGAATCACTATGTTTTGTGTTCACTGCATTCCGTGGGAACCCTCTAAAAGGCTATCACCGTGGGTTTGGCAGCTTTACTACATTCCGATAGACTTTCACCGCGGGCTTCATTGCGAACAGAACCCTCTAAAAGGCTTGTCACCGTGGGTTGTGCCAGCATCACTGCATTCAGTGAGGCTGCGTGGTCTTCACACTAAAAGGCCTTTCACCATTGGTTTTGTCAGGTTTACTGTATTCCGCTTGGGTTTTATTGCGATCAGAAACCTGTAAAAGGCCTACAGTGCATTTCGTAAGTCTATCAACATGGGTTTCATTGCGACCAGAACTCTGTGAAAGCCTTTCACCGTGTGTTTTGCTAGCTTCACTCCATTCCATGAGGGTATCACCA